GGTTTGGTTTTGTTGGGTTTTTTCCCTTCAATTTTTAAAAATTGCTTATTAGAATTTCTCTTTTATCAATTTTTAACTTTTTTAAAAACCAAATTTCTCTCTTTTTCTTCTTTTTTTTTTCTACGGACTCGAGTCCTTACTCGAATACAGTCAAACCTGTGTAAAACGGCCACCCATTGTCAAGGAGAAAAGTGGCGTATGAGACAGGTGGTCGTCTTAGGCAGGACTGATCAAAATGAAGATAACAAACCGTTCCCATCTGCGGTCCCAATCGAAAGTAGCCACATTGTTGTTGTTGTTGGTTTGTATTTTGTTTGTAATATTTTGTTGTTGCTGATTTTGCACAAGGGTGACAATAAAACTAAATATATCGGATAAGGAAGACCGAATGCCATGGTAAAACAAACACATGGGTCGCCACTACTCGGAGAACGAGCGACACTTCTGTCACAAGTTCATGTTGACGTCTTTTGTTACTTTGTTACGGACTGGGTAAACAGTGACCTCTCGTCTCACTTACGATTTGTGTATGAGTTCTGGGTGGGGCTTATGGGTTATGAGGGATCACACGCTTACCTCATCAGCAGCTGAAAATGAGTAGCTATTGATCAACAGTGGGAGGGGCCTACGCAACATGATCGGTTGGAGGGACTACCTAACAACAACGACTGGTGATTGAATTATGACGGCTCGCCCACAACGCCAGGGGCCAGTGCACAACTTATGACAAAACGTAATGGAGTCACTAAGGTGGCCTTCTAAGACAGGTGTTATTGCTTAGTGTGATAGGGGTTGTGTGTTAAATTATGGTGGCCGCGGACGCATTGGACAGGTGCCCGTTTTACACAGTTAAATTATGTAGAAAAAACGCAAGGGGGGAAATGGAAAGTGGCCGTCTTATAGAGTTGGCCGTCAGGGCAGGTTTGACTGTAATTTACTTGTGACTCAAGTCTGGACTCGCCGCATATATAAACTTGAGTACTCGAGTCTGGACTCGTTACTCGCACACCTCTACTGAGCAAAGTCGGAACTACTTTTGGGCACTCCTGTACAATTGCGGTCCCGTTTAGGGATAGTACATAACAAGATGGTCCACTCCACCAAAAAAGTGTCCGCTGGAAGTCCGCTCTTTGCTTCAGATGGCGCTGCAGATTTCTCCAGAAGAAGAAAGGAATAGCACCTCCTTGCATGTGCAGATAGACATCTGTTCATCAGCTGTTCGGGTTCGTTCAGAGCGGAGTTTTAGTTTTTTAAAATTTTAATGACCTCTCACCTTTCTTTCTGAAGTCAAATTAAACGAAGAAAACAGTCACCCCTTTCTCCGGAAGAGGTTTTTTGTCAGCGTAGCCATTTTTAAAAAGTGTTCTTCCAAAAATTTGAATTCTTATTTATTCAAAAACTTGTTAGTTTCACTTTGATTTTTTTAACACAAGTAGGGTAACTCTGTTCGCAAAGGGTGCGCATTTGCGAAGAGGGCGCCACCGAGTTTTGAGGACACTTTTTTAATTGGCTCAAAGAGAGGAGTGGACCCTCTTGTTATGTAGACTCTTTGCTTTGACCCCACCAACGATTACTTGCACTGGTTCTAAACTATTACTTTTTAATGCGCGTGCCGATAGGCCTATGGAGAGATAGCCAATCAAACCTGATTGCAAAACATCAAATTATGGTCAACCCCCCTGAATCCCCCCTTGCCTTGTTAAATACTAGTAAAATTTTAATTGCTCATTTTGTAGGCTAGATCTACTGTTAAAACATCGATGCCGAATATTTCAATCAGTATCGATATCCAGTAGTCTTTGTTTGTGTGATTTAGTCCTAGAAATAACGGGACCGCAAGTGTACAGGAGTGCCTACTTTTTAGCCTCGCCGGGCAATGGTCCGCTCTTATGTTAATGTTTTACTTTTTTATGTGGTGTTTTTTATGGTTATTGTTGCCAGGGGGCCTCCTGAACCCCCCCCCCCCCCCCATCCACTGTTATTATGACCAGTGAGCATTAATACATGTAAACACATTGGGTCCACCAAGTTTCAATCCAGCCCTGTAAGAAAAGTTTAAGACTAAAATCAGAGTTGTTAACTCTTGTCCTGCATCCTCTGCCGAGATGCGAATCTTCTCAGCAACCTATTAGTAAATTAGGTCTGACATTCCTGGCCGAATGCCAGGGTCATTCAGCGTATATTGTTGGTGTACAGCGAGCCGGACTGGAAACGTGTTTTCGCTGTGAATACCGTGGGAGTGTGTTAATCGATGATGAAAATAACACTCTATCTTTTATAGTTTTCTCTTTATAAAATGTTCGAACACATGAATAACCCCCTGTCATAAGCTGATTTATATACGACTTTACGAATAGTTGCGCCCTATCGAATAACCTTTTTAGACGCTCTTGTTGTTACAAATAATCTGGGTTTCGAAAGGGAATAATAAACAATTTCCGAATGTTGTGCTCTGAAATTTTTCTTTTTACCTGCACAACGGTATTCAAAACTATCAAATAAGCTATTTTTATCAGGTATTATTTCATACAAAATCAAGCCCATTTGAAAGATTTTGTATACGAAAATGGAAGTCTTGTTTCCTGACTAGCCTTTCAAGCTCCTCATTTCTAAGTGGGTCAATTTGTTCTAATTTCATTGGATGAACATCTAGAGCTACCAACTTGACATCCGGGTGTCCAGAGAAGTATGAAACTGGTTGGAAATTGTTGTTTAGGTTGGATAAGTCGGATTTTTGTCGAAAAAATATTGTTCTTACGGAAATGGTTGGATCAGCGTTAGCAATTAAAGGAAATTTGAGGAACTCTGTTAATTGCCTCGGAAAAGACCAGCGAAAATACAAAAAAAGTTCTCGAATAGTTGAAAACCAATTCCGATAACGTCCTTAAGTTCATTTTTGCCTGTGGCGATTGTGATATTCATTCTGCTTTTCCCTGTCTGAGAGTACGTTTCATGCAAACAGATGGCTATGGCGGCAAGCAGAAGCTGCTCATGTTGTTTGTGTACAATAATGTCATACCAATTGATTTTTTTTTCATCAGAATTTTCAAATCACATGTAAAGGATGTCAAGCTTGGATGGGATCACTCTGACTCCTGGCTCCACAGTCTTGTTACTGTGGGCTGGTGACCAAATGTCTGCCAACATGCAGGATGTAGCCACCTCTATATCAGAGCAGGTCAGGTCTGGCTCTGGCGGAAGAATCCAACTGGAACACATTGACAGACTCGTTATGTGTGAGTGAAAACTTTTTGTTCATTGTTTAAGTTTGTTAAAAATGAAATGTGTCTAAAATCATGTTCTTTCGTTAGCCCACTTGGTATTCTTTTGGCCGGTGCTACTCGCCCGATGTCGGGTGACTAGCGCCAGGCTTCTTGCCCGATGTCAGGTGGCTAGCGTCAGGCTAGCATCAGGATCAGGCTACTCACCCGATGTCGGGTGACTAGCGCCAGGCTACTTGCCCGATATAGAGTGGCTAGCGTCTGGTCGGTCGAGTAGCCTGACGCTACAGTGAATTTTTACTATACCACATTGTCACTATGATTTTAAACTGTATTGAAAATATGAAACAGCCGGAGTGGCAATGACGTTTAGTGAAAACAAATGACCATGAATGAGCTGTGCCAGCTTTCATATCTAACACTCTTGGACGCTTCGTTCACATGATAGCAGTAATTTCTCTTGCTATTCAAAAACCACATAGCAATTAGTAACCCGCAAGGCAAAGGTCACGTGCATTCCAAAAGTGTTCTCTGTAAGTATGCATGAAATGTGTAGATTTTATTGACTGCTACTGCTAGTCAAGGCCAACCTCTTTTCCTTTACCCAAACAAATCAGCTGAGAAAAGCCGTAGTCAGGTTTGCAGGCAGATTTCTATTTTAAAATAGGCTCTTAGATGTGCAAGTCATGGAGAGAAAAAAATTGTTCGCAGTAAACCAGGTTCTTATGCGGAGTGCTCTTAGACGGAGACCACTCTATTGATAATGACATAATGCTTTATTTTATAGATACATCCGTATTCCTGATTTTAGTGGTAAGGTTGCTTTTGTTGAGTTTCCTGTCCTCCTCTGCACCCCACGGGGGAGGCAGAAAGAAAATTACTCTTATCTGAAATGTGAATCATCTGGGAGAGTTGGGGGGAGAGAGAGAGAGAGAGAGAGAGAGAGAGAGAGAGTTTTGGGGGGGGGGGGGGGTTTTAAGAATATTAGGAATTTTATGTGATAAAGACAGACACTGGCAGAGTGAAAACAAAACAAGTTTGAGTGGTTAGAAAATTATTTTTGGACAAGAAAAATGTAAATTGTGCTTTTTTTTTCACCTTTTTAAAGTCTTTGACGCAAAATGTATCTTGTGAGTATTTTCAGTTTGTCCTGGGAGCTATGCTTATTTCAGTGATTTTATTTTTTTCCACAGCCTCTCATCCAAGCTCTAGTTTTGACCTGGTCATCTCTGGCTTGGTGAACCCATTTCAAACCCAGCACACCACAGAGATTTTAGGTGAACTGTGTCGAGTGCTCAAGCCAAAGGGCCGACTCTACGCCCAGGAACTTGCTCTGCCTTCTGGACAGAATGGGAGAAAGTCGAAGGATCAGTTGATGTCGCTTCTGAAACTGTCCGGATTTGTGGATATTGCAGATGTGAGGACAAGTGTGTTGTTGCTGGTGTCCTTTTCCAAGAAGGATCTCTGAGCTATGGCTGGAGAGCAAATTTTTCTCCTTACTGTTTCTGACCTCAGCTTCTACAGTTTAAATATGCCTTATGTAGCTCTTTATGATAGATGGACGGCAACAGTAGTAGTGAATCTGCTAAGTTGATGAAAGAAATCATAGAAATACGCCAAAGTTGTTTTATTTTCAGCTTTTAATAATGTCTTGGGGAGATCTTCTTAAACCAACCTTGTCAAAAAGAAAAACTTCATATACATAGATCTTTTTGGGGGTTCTTTTTATGTTAAAAAAAAATGTATGGCTTTTTAATGGGTACTGTTTTCTGTCCTCACAGGCTAGAGAAGTCCCTTTGAATGATGATGAGAAACAAGAGCTGAAGCAAAGTTCAGACACTGCTAGTGATGTGGTGCTCTACAGACTGGGAGCTCAGAAGCCAGCCTACGAAGTGGGATCTTCCTCACAGCTTAAACTGCCCTTCAAACCCAAACCAAAGCGTAAGTAACTGGTGTTGTGCTTGGGAGATTGGGGGGAGATGAGTCATTGATCTAGAATTATGTATATTTTTTCGTAACAGAAAAGACTGGTCAAACTCTCTTAACCTTTAAGAGTCGACTTGCTCACCGGCTCTTATATGATCTAATTGTGCTGCAAATTCCATAAAATTCTCACTTCTTCATCTTCTTCTTCTTCATTCTTCATGGAAGTACCGACGGCTACGATAAAATCGTAACTGTTACAAGTTCACCTCCAGGGGAAAAAAAATTGTCGGCACTTTAAAAGCCTCCTCCCAGGAAAAAAAATGTTCGCCACTTTAAAGCCTCGAAATCCCGTCCTGCTGAAGGGTGTATCGTAACGATAGACAATTTGCTCCTCACCGGTACCAAAGATCGTACATAACACGATTGTTCACTCAACCAAAAAAGTGTCCATGGAAGTCTGCGCTAGAGCTGGTTCGGAAGCGCGAGAACGGAATTGAATGGCCACTCTTCCCTGCGGAACGCGATTCACAATTCACACCAGTGGAACGCGGAACAGTATCGCCTTCTGATTCACTCCCCTGTCGCTGTCACCACAATGTGGCTTGTTTGTAGGCCTAACCTAGATCTACTCCTGGGTCGCGAGTCGAGTCACGAGCGCAAGAACGGAACGGACACTTAGTATGACTCCTCTTATTTTACAAAAGATGGTATAGTCCAACCCTCCTATTAAAAAAATATGAACGTGTTCCAACGAGTAAACAAAAGGAATTTTATGGAGCCATTGTTTTAGGGAATCATGGGGGGGGGGAGGGATGAATTTATGGGGTCACTAATTGAGGTCAGTAGAGCAGGAGGATGGCGGGGCAACAAGAGTGTGACTCGCGAGGTGGCGTTGATACGACAGTTCCATTTCATGCATACAACGAGCCCGGGGCTTAATGTTCCACGAGCGCTCTCACACTCACCATTCTTTGAAGCGGACCGAATCGCAAATTGTCACTCTCAGATTTGGCGAGCAGGATCCAGCTCTTGTCTGCGCATTGTTTCAGATAGTGCTGCAGTCTTTGATTTGAAGCTCTCTTTCATTCTTTAGAAGAAGATAGGAATAGCACAGTTTGTTAGTATCCCTTTTATTGTTTTTCACACAAGTAGGGTAACTGTGTTCATGAAGTTCACGCTTTTTCAAAGAGGACGCATGCTGTTTGCTAGATCTAGATCTATAAGTCTGATATACTTTTAGATTCCAAAGAGCTCAAGCAAGCTAAATTCAATCTCAAAGCGACGTTTTCGGCAAAATATTCTGAGGAGGTTCCTTTTATTTCTTCGTCAACTGTGCCGATTCATCCTGCGTTCTGCAAAACTGTGCCGAAGCACTGTAAATGTTTCTCATGGTGGTAGATCGGATATTGTACGCCATTCCAAAACAAATGTGCATATTGAGTATGTCAAACGTGATTCAGATGGGAAGCAAAAGACTGTTCCTTTTGTCAAAGCCAAGAGCAAAGATGCGGTTAAAGAGGAGGATCAGTTTGATTCGTGCTGAGTGTTTGTTCACAAAATTTTATGTAGAACACAATATACAATATTCCACCCCTTGTTTTGAGACAGAGTTTTCACCAGAATTCCTCAAGAGCTGCTTTGAAAGTAGCAGTAAAGCCACAATAAACTGCTTTACTGGACTGACTAAGAGGCTTTTATAAGCTGTGAAATTAAGTCCAAAAGGTAAGCAGTACAATCTAGTTAGTGCATATATATAGGTAGAGTAAACGCAGCCTCACGGCCTTCCTATCACGTGGTTTCGGTGAAATCGGGGGTAATTCTGATCGCTGTTTCTTTGCTCTTTCGCTATAAAACACCAAATGCTGTACACCTTGTAAAATTTCAGCTTTTCCTCGTTTCAATGGTGTAAGTTGTTTAATGTCCGATTATTAGGAGCTGGAGAATCGCCATGGAAAATGAAGCCCCTCGCGGTTGGAACGCGCGGTTGGCCGGTTCAAAGACTGACATGCATGCATTCAAATGCTTCGCGGAAAGATTGATGATTAAATACCGTCTTTTCATTGGCGGAGAACTGTAGAGCTTTGGACGGGCTTTCTCGTTATATATTTTTGGCCTTTGGCGATTAAAGAAAAAGCCTTTAAAAAAAACGTCAAAGTTTTCAAAGATCATTTTCTACATGAAATATATAATATACCGGCTCAAAAAGGTACCAATAGAAAGATCTGTTCATTGTCTCTTAGAATAAAGTAATCAGCCTGGAATTATTTTTCATCCATCCTTCTGCGAAACTCGGAAAGCGTGTGACCCCCCCACGCGTGGAGCATTCAGTACAACACAGTAAGAGCGGACTCGCTCGCCGCGGGGGTCGGTGCGGCGCCGGCCGGGTCAAAGCTTTGTGTTTTTGTCAGACTAACAACAGATCATCGTATTTGAGACGATAAAATACTGATTTGTAATTATCTTACAGTCTTGAAAAAAATTAGGCTCCATATCTATGTTATAGTGATTGTACTCTGTTAATGTGGAGATGTTTTGGTGCACTTGGTACTCTTTTATTACCTGTCAAACAGGGGTTTGCAGCCAGTGAGCAACTTTAACAAATTTGATCAAATTTTAAACTGCTACCATTTTCTTACAAATTGACTGAGAGGTTATAGAATGGTACCGAAATTCTCAGGAGATATAGGCCTTTCATATGGAACAGATAAATTTGGCATATAGCTACTTTGAAAATTTAATTTCTGGTGCTTAATATATTTTAAAAAAGGGAGGGGGCACTATAGCTGATCCTAACGGGTGTGCGATTTTTTATGAAGTAGCGTCATGCGTTGGGGTGTTCTGTTTTTGCTTCCTGGAAAGTTGGCCGCTATGTGGTAGATTAGATTGGGAGGGCTGAAGAGTTGATGAACTTTCAAGTGATTCCCAGGTCGAGAGGGCTGCATACAGCTTCTGATGCATGTCCCTGGGTTGAGGCCAGTATTTTTGTCTTGGCTTATCCAGTAGTGAGCAGTCCTGGAGAATATGCGGTGTATCTTGGCGGCTGGCACCACAAATAATTCTTAGTAATACTATACTTTGCATGTTGTTTTCTTCAACAGCCAAGGTTGACGACAATGTAGCAAAAGTCTGGAGCCTGAACTCGTCCGATCTCATGGACGCTGATGTGGATTTGGTCAATGAAGATGACTTGCTGGATGAGGACGACCTCAAAAAGCCAGACCCAGCCTCTCTCAAAGGTACGTAACTGACAGTAGTGTCAGAAAACCTCATTCAACGGACCTGTTCTGCAGCACCATACTGTGATTACGTCAGTGGACTTGAAACCACCTACAGATCAGGCCTTAAGAATGACAGGGTTTTAAATCCATGAAGCATAGTTGTGAAAATATTGAGATTCACAGATTCACATTCTTACAGTTAAAATATTTTTAAACCTTTTTTGTTATGCGTCAAATTGAAAAATTACTGGCAATATTGTCTCAAGCCTTTGACACAATGTGCAGGACATCTGTATCAGTAATGTGTAGTGTGTGACTCAGTTCTGGCAAAAAGTGGAGTTAAAACCCTGTCTCTCTGAGGGCACGAGGTGTTTCTTCCTTTCTTTATCACAGTATAATTTTTATTTTTTGGGTCCAGCGTTTTTTTTAATGCTATGTGTTACAAAGCTGTAGAATCAGGCGTTCGTCAGTTTTTGGGGATCTGGAGTTATTGATATCATCTTACAGCTTGTTCATTTAACCATTTTTTGATGATAAAAATACAAGGCTATCTTGAATAGAAGTCGAGGGATCCTTAGCAGTCTACAGTGTTTTCAATTGGCACCAAGAATGTTATTATATTGGCTCTACCATGGAACACCCATATCAATGGGGGGTTTTCTCAAATCTAGTTTCAGGGAAACAATTATGAATCATGAAAGCTTTGTTTTTTTAATGGGCAGGCTTTCTTATTACAGTTGATTCCCTTTGCTGTCTCATGAAAATGGCAGAAGTATCCGATTCAGTTTTTAAATATATTGCTGTTTGTTGTAATATGTGGCGACATTTAGCACTATAGGATAGAAACTTTACAGTAGGCCTGTGCAATAATAAAAATTTAGATACTACTTTGGGCCGTGTTGTTGTCAATCTACTTTGGTTTCAGTTTACGAGATGAAATTAATGTTACAATATTTCTTGTTCGGGTTTGTCATTATAATTTCCCCCCCCTTTCAGTTGATTGTGGTGGAGGTGCCAAGAAGAAGAAAGCCTGCAAAAACTGTACATGCGGGCTGGCAGAGGAATTAGATTCTGGGAAAAAGGCTGACACCACAAAGACGTCTGCTTGTGGAAATGTAAGTTTTTTACAAACGCATTTAGTACTCATATATTTCTACTCCGTTTGCAGTCTTAAAAGATATTAAGCCTTTATGCTTTTGACGTTCTTAAGATATTCGATTCAGAGAGGGCTTGATTCCACTGTTTCATTTGTAGAATTTCAGTGCTTGTGGTTGCTTATGAAAATGTCTGATTTAAATATTTTGTGGAGAAAATTAAACCTGCATGTTTGCCGACAATCGTCTGAAATCTGACAATCGCGAGCCTGCCGATGCTATCGCCTGGCCCACCTGTATTAGTCTATGTGCGAAGTGCGAGGCCTGGCCGACTGCCAGCGCCCCCTTTTTCTCCCGTCGGCTTTGTCGGCACTTTCGTTTTCGTGCCGACGTCGGCGTTTCTGACATAATTGTCGGAACCTGATTACAAATACGAATACGAAAAAGTATGACGACCTAAATTATTTACTTTCAGTTTCGTGTTCAAGCGGCCATTTTGAATTTCGTTTGTTTACTGGTTGTTCAGATCATGTGGATTCATTCAAGTCCAACTCACTTGTTCTACTCTAGATCTAGATTTATAGATCATTATAGACCTCAATGGAGGATTCATATTCCAATTCTATTGTGTCAAACTGTATTATAGACTGTGCGGTAATATTAATGTTGGTAAAACGCATTTCATCAGGTGCGTGAATTTAGAGATCTAGAATTCTCAGCCGAGTCCGTCTGTTCGGAATCGGATGCGGATTTCTCGTTCAAGGCCTATTCCTATTCACTTGTTCTACTAGATATTCTAGATCTAGATTTAGATCTAGATCTAGATTTAGATCTAGATCTAGATTTATTTAGATTACTAGATCTATAACTAGATCTAGATCTATATGGGGGAATTATATTCCAATTCTATTGTATTATATTGTATCAAACCCTATTATAGCAATGTAGGCCATTATAATAATATGCTCCTTGTTTGTTTTGGTGTTTTTTTTTTTTTTTGTTGACTTGTGCTGGCCTTTTTACATGAGGGCCATTGCAGGTTCTTTTTTGGGGTAGGTCTAGGGGTAGTGTTTAGGTTAGGGTTAGGTCTCTTCTTTGTGTTTGTTGGGGTGGTCGCTCGTTACACGGAAGTCCTTCCTTTTATGACACCCACAATTTAAAAGCTCTTAAGTTATGGAGGGGGGGGGCGGTGCGCGCAAAATTTTCAGACAATCTGGTCGAGGCTCACGTGCAGGTCTAGAAAATACAGTGAACCAGTCTGACAGTTCACACCTCCAGTTTTTCCGAGTCCAAGTTTTAAAATAAAAACGAGGTCTAACATGAGAATTGTAGATTGTCAATGTAAAGTGAAGTAATTTGTGAGTATGTTAAGTGTCAAGTTTTTACATCAGTTTATATTTCAATAGGGTTTTTTTTCAACTTCCCCATGCAACTGTCTTTTGATTTCAAATTAGAGACTTTTTTGTTCTTGCTGCTTTTGCCCACATATAGGATCTAGGACTAGTAAACTAAATCCCAATAGATTTGGGGAATTCAACTGTTACAACATTTTAGAAAGGGGAACTTTTTTCTCCTGTCATTGAGATGGAGGTTTCACAGGATTCTTTGTAGTTGGATATGAGGTTCTGTTGTTGTTTTTTATTTATGCTTATTCTATCAACACTTTATGTATATATTCTTTCGTAAGGATTCCTCTCATTGTTTCATGACTTTTCAACAATTACTTATTATATTGGAAGTCCGACTCTAATCGTTTATGTATATAAATACTGATTTTTAAAAAGAAAAGTTGGGTATAAAACATAATTTTTATTATTGTCTCTGTCATGTACAATTAGATCACCTGGCAATTTGGCTCTAAAATCTGCTTCAGTTTAGTCTGGATTTTCTTATGTGGGTTGTACATTAATTTGAGACAAAAGAAGTGTCTGGATCTAATATGGCAGATACACAGTTTCAACATTGTTATGGAGCAGCGATGTAGCTGTCATACCAAAATAGACATGAAGAATAGAGCTCTTCTTTACATGTTTTCTAACTTTCACTTTAAGTGAAAGCATTCAAGGGTTGCTGCCTAAAATATAATAATTGCAGGGAGAGTAGATGTAGGACTTGTCATGCCATAACTACTTCACTCTGTGTTTGCTTTCCTTTTTTTTTCTTTTATTATACTGGCCTTTTACATCTCTTTCTCAGCTCAATTTGAACTGTTCCCAGGTCTAAGTTATAAAGAATTATTAAGTCTGATATACCTTACTCTTTTAAGCCTTAAGAATGTAGTAAATAAATATATTTCTATTGATTGGGTGTATGAGTTTTTAATGTAATTTCAATTTAATTAAGTAATTTAATCCATACAATGATGAGCTGATTGCTTCATAATCTGTCACAAACCGTACGTAGTTGTTAGTGGTCTGATCATCACATGTCGATTTACCTCTATCTTTTTATTTTCTTGAAACAGTGTTACCTTGGAGATGCATTCCGCTGCGCCAGCTGTCCGTACCTGGGCATGCCTGCCTTCAAATCTGGGGAAAAGATCGCACTGTCCAACAGGCAGCTGAAGGCAGATGCCTGAACACATCTCAAGACAAGTTGATTCTCACTGTTGTGTACTCCAGATTTTCATACAGACTTCCGATCCAACAGTGTTGAACGTAGATGTAGGTGGGAGACGGAATTATTATTCCTTTATTCATGAATTGCTGGATCAAAAGTTTTGACTTGGAATAAATTCTTGAAGTTGTGCTTTTTGAGCTAAACAAATAAAATTTATTATGTACATGAAAAACTGTTTTGTAAAGAATTTTTTTTTAATCTGTCCCCTCCATCTCTCTTTCTGTCTCATATACACACAGGCTATACAGAAGAGAGAGATATATGGACGCTTATAATTGTAGTGTATTGAGTTTGTATAAAAACTGACGAAAGAGGTCAAACACTGATGACCTGAGAACCATTGAGGAGCTAGTGCCCTTAAGGTGCGAATACAGTGGAATTCAGTTTGGAAACAGGTCCGGCCCGTCAACACAGCTGTGCTATGAGCAAAGCGCATGCAACCCACTTTGCACCCGGCTCGTTTCCGCTGCTGCATTTGCCTTGATGGGCTATCATGGTGCAACAATGGATGTAACGGTGCAGGCAATGGAGGCTTTGCAGCTTAAGTTAATGCCCTGGCTGAAAAAAGAAGGTGTTCTTGTAAAAGTTAAAGACATTATTGGGTTCGTCCAATAATCCAACAAAGGGATAATTGTGGGGAATACTATCACCTTGTGGAAAAAGGTACTCGTCAATTTTTTGTCATATGGGGTTATTGGCATCATCTTCAAGCCTGTTCCTTTGCCTTCCTTTTGGCGAAAAAGTACCCATCTGTGTTCAATAGAAATCGAAATATTAGCGATTGAAGGTCAGGGTCGCCTGGTTTCAGAGGTAAAATTAGTAAGAAAGTTGCCGCCGAAGGTTGATAACTTCCATGGCCCGAGAGTCCTTTGAAACTGAACATTTACATTTTTGTGAATTTAATCAATGTTTTTCAGTAAAATCCACATAAAAATGTTTTTAAATGGACATAAAAGGTGTTGAGCCAAAAAAAGAAAATGAGAAAAAATTGCCCGTTGGCCAAATAAAATGCAGATTTCCTTGATTTAATTATTTTGACGAGTGCTTGATTTCACCCTGATGCATCACATATATGCAGTGGAACTTGGGTTCAACGAGGTCGCCGGGCCTGACCAAAAGTCTCGTTGAATCCGAGTGTTTGTTTATAGCAAACACGAGGTTTTGTGTAGATAATTACAGGCACTGAGCAAGCAAGGTATAAAGAGAAGTCACAAGTAGTGCCTGAAATGCCTGCATAGTATGAGCTGTGTAAAAAAAGACAGATTCGTTCAAATGCACACACCTGTGTCATCACGATTGTTTACCAAAAAGTTGTGTTGCTGTGTAGAGCCTAGCATACGGCAACTTTTGATTCCATAGACCAGTGCACAATTCATTACGTAGATCTACGTCAAGACTAACTTATCATTGTAATAATGATCAGTTGCCGAGGGGGAACGAAAGACTGAGTGTGACGCATTTTTTTATCTGCGACGTTCAACGCCCAGACCGCTAGTGCCCCCCACCTTTCCCCCATACGCACACATAGCACACGTGTGCAGGCCGCCCCTCCGACCCAGACACATGCCAGAGTAGACAAGTGCGCGGGCCAACAACGCATGTGTTGGTATGAAAAAAGGCCGCTGATTGGTCGCATGTAATCGGCTAAGTGAATGATGCCAATGGTTCATGATCAGGTGCAATGATGGTTTCCGGGAATGGATGAAGTTCGTTCTGAGAGAAAAATTAGCGAAGCCACGTCTGCGGGGGCTGTTCACCCTGGAAGCGATCTCGTTGAATTCGAGCTCACTGATTTAAGTGCTAGTTGAATCCGGGTTATTTTTATTAATTTTAAAGAAGAAAAAAAACGGGGAATCTATCTCATCTCGTTGATTCCGAGTTCTCGTTGAATCAGAGTTCCACTGTATGTATTCAAAACGGCACACAATGAGAAAGCCATAACCAAGCCGGGAGAATATTTTAGGGCAGCACTAAAATGCCTCCAGCTAAAAAATTGTGCCAAGTGAAGGAAGGACCAGAAACGAAATCACTGTGGCGGTGATGAAGAGAGAAAGACATTTCGGCTCCAATGTTGGTCATACGGCGAGATCAAAGCTGGAAGCATCTCTAAACCGGATTCCACTGTGTTTCCACCTTTTAATTTACTCATCAATTGGAGTAAAATCCTATGGCCTCCACGTGTTTTTTCACTTGAGGTCTTAAAACCTTGAATACATTTAGAGATATATCCTAAATATCCAAAAACCATATTTTGCTGAAAGTTCAATGTCTTGGTGAGACCAATTACTAAACTGATTTTTTAAAAAAATATATATATTCAGTTTTCCGCTGAACTTGACATCGACCTATCAATAATTTATTTATAGTGGCACCAGCCGTCCATGTCCAGGTGCTGTTTTAGCCTACATCGACCTACACGGCCATTTACTTTTTTCAATGGGGGGATGTTTACACTTTTTAGAGCTATTAAAAGAAATCGGATGCTTCTTTTCTGGTAAAACAAATAGCAAAAAGGTAGCTGATCCATTTTTATTTTTTAAATGCATATGTCGAACATTTTTTACCAGAATGTGCAACCTTAACTCACACAGAACTTGTGTCAGACTTGTCTATTACTCGTACAAGCCGACCGGACAGGTTTCTGGGCCGTACGGCCAATCATAACGTGTAACAAGAAATATGGCTCAAACCGTAGGCGAACACCCGGTGAATGGCCGGCTGGCTGGATGTAAAGAACCCACGGCCCCTGCCTGAGAATTTGACGACCGGCCATCCGGCCTTTGAAGTTTGCTGCCCCTGGGACAACAGAACGAATTTCAAAATTATAGAAAATCACGTCGTAGATATAAAATAATACCAGATTCAGAATCAGAGTATCAAAATTAGGGAAATGGCTCTCGAGTGACTTGTTTCGTTTTGTATTTAAGGATTTTCCATTCCAGTAGCACATTTTTATGTTTTGCACGCCATGGTGCAGACACGTGTGAAGCTTCACCCAGACTAGGCCTAGTGCGTAGAACATGTCGCTCGTGAGGTGCGGCCGCCTTCAGGTCCATTGTGGCGTGTAATAATAAACCAAGCTTCCTTGATTTCACCTAGCCGTACGGTCAAATGCCTGTCCGGTCGGCCTGTACATGTAATAGGCCCTTTAGTCAGGAAGTGGTTTTTATGCGAGGCAGCGTGGTCAAATCAGGCGCTTGTCAAAATAATGAAATTGAACAAACAGTTTGGCAATTTTTATCTAATTTTTGTTTTTTGGATCAACACCATTGTTGTCTAATAAGAACACATTTTTGGGTGGATTTTACAGAGAAACGATTAAAGGCCCAAAAAAAGTTTTCAGTTTCTACGGATTACCAAGCTATGGAAATAACCAAACTTTGGCGACCATTTTCTCGCTAATTCTTCCTTTGAAACCAGACGACCCCCACCTTCTTCAATCTAAAAAATCTTGACTTCTGTTCAAGATAAATGGGTGGTAGGCCTATTTTTTTTTCACTGATAGCAAGACAATTGAACAATCAATAAGTTGATACCAATAACTGGTCATGCCCCCAAATTGACTAGCGCCCAATTCCACCACGTCGTGACACACATCATCCTTATAGCTTGATGTTGGGAAGTCTGGACACAGCATCTCAAACCGCTCTCATTATCCCACAAAGAACAAAAAAAATTCTTGAAAGAGAACCTGAGAAGCCATCAGCTATGAAGATTTTATTTGCAAATTTACAGTTCACATCATGTAGAAAATCAAATTATTCTTGGTCATTACATAGATGGGATTAGGTGGGATATACTTTCTCACGCATAAAAATGTGTACCTTTTCTTTCACACTCATTCATATAAGCCTTGAGTCAGGAGGACTCTTGTCCACAATGGCAAAGTTTGAGAAACTTGACAATTCAATTCAAGACGAAGTTGGCTCAAATCATGAACTGAAGTGATTGCTGGAAAAATGACACTTTGTAGGCAGCATATATCTTTTTATAGATGTTAACTTAGAAGCAGCTTTTGCAGGCAGATAATTGATTCAAAATGTTTGTTCTTTAGCGCCGAAACATATATCATGCAAAACAATTGTCTCTTGCAGTTACAGTCAAAACCTTTTTATACCACCACCCTTGGTACGAGCATGAAGTTGGCGGAGCAGCTGGGCTGGTAGTTTAATGGGATTCCTCTCTTTAAAATACCCAACTGCCTAACGTCAAGGGACATGATTCTGCTGTGTGATCTGTTTGAAAAGTGTTTTTTTTGTTTGTGATATTCAGTATACGGTGTGTGTCGCATTCAACGAGGTTGCTGGGACCGGCTTGTTGTCCTCATTGCATCCGACCTCTCGTTGAACGTGACAAATGCTAAAGAAAAGAAAGGAGACAAGTTATTATATTACACAATGTACCTATACCATTAATTAAAACAGTTGTTCCACCTGAAGACGAAATTCTCAAAAAACATCAGAGCGCGCATGTTTGAGCTGTGTTCTGACCGTCATTTCTGCACTTTAAAATATTTTTTTCCTGGAAAACTTCACGTGTGGAAACATACCCTCTCACATCTAGGCCTAGATCTACATAAAATAAAGGCAGGAGCTTGGATTTTCTGATCAGGGGAAGAAAATAAAAATTGAAAAAAAATGAAGGTTTCGACCTAGACCTACCCACCCAGAGTTAATCCAGTTTCACACAGCCCGCATCGCATTCCCACCCACCCCCTCCCACCCCTACCGTAGGCTAACCCTCGCCCATCCTCTTGGCTTTGGGGCCCATATTAGGAAGCACACTAGATCTAGCAATACAAAGTGTTAGGAATCGAGGATGGGCCTTGTGCTTCGCGTGAGATGAAGAGAAAGGAGAAACATTTTTCGCTTTTGGGGCCACTAATTGCGTTTATTTGGTTATCGTGACCTCGGTCTGTTTGCAACCTCATTGGAGCTGACATACATTTACAAAGAGATATAGAGGAAAAAATCAGGGATCAAGGATTGCCTCTTTGGAGCTGACTTCTCGTTGAATGTGACCTCGTTGAATGCGACATCCACTGTACATGTACATATATTCAGAGCCGAGAGTCTTCTCTTTCTCTCTATTTCTATGTCTTTCTCGTGGGAGAAAGATTATTAAGTAGCCAACCACTGGGTGCCTTGCGCCATGTTTGGTATGTACTTCAAGCAGTCAGTTTGTTGACTGTATGGTGGAGCAAATTTACATTAGTTTAGTATTAAATAGTAGTAAGGAACATACAAATCAGACAGTTGGCAGACGGCGGTGTGAAGGTATGAAGGTGTGAATACTATGTTTATATAGAGACGTTTCTTTTCGTACATTGGGAAAACCTGGCAGCAAGTGGGGCTGGCAGTATAATGGTGGGTGGTGCAACAAAGTTTGACTGCATTTATGATATCACAAAAGATCACCGATGAATTTTTAGCCAATAGCAATTGTGACCATTTTATTCCAGAACAAGCAAATTTCATTACCACAAATACTGTACATCAGACTTATCCATGAACTTGTACAATGACGGCAAAGTGATGATATTATAATGAATTTCAAATATTTAATAATATACCCTTAGCCTGCTGTCATCCCTTTCGGCACTGTACACCAGATGGGATTTTCCAAGCAGTGCAGCAAGTCAAGAGAACAAAGAAAGTCTGCAAGCTTGCCTTGATTCATTTACAGAGGGAATGCTTTAAGAAAAGTTACGGTAAATTAAGACTGGCATCTTAACATAATTTTAATGAAATAGCTGCCAACACTTCAACTGACATTTTCTTGACTTGACAAGTGTAAGTCGCACAAATTTGATCGAAAGTATTGATTTCCGAATATCTTAGGAGCCTAATAAAGAGGAAAGTAATGCACACATAAAGAAGATTCCAATATATATATTCTAAAAAAAATTTCTATGGACACTCTTGATCACATAGCATTAGCATTGTCCTCAACATAATAGTTTCTCAGAAATGCCGATCCAATGAAAATCATATTGACTGCTCATTGTAAGACTCCCATCTTATGTCACTTTTCAAAATGGCGTATGGGGGAGTATTACAAAAAAGCAGTCTGTGTAAAAACAAAATGATACTTTACACAACTCAGGTAATCATACCTCTATGAACCATACACATGAAAAAGAACAGGTAAAGTTGGTGAGAATTAAAGAAAGGCTTTTAGATTTAATAATAAACACGACTGATGCAACAGGAAAAACAAACTTTCTTTATAAAATTTCTCCAAGTGCGATAATACAATACTATCCAAGGTATGAGGCTGTTGTTAATTTTTTCTAACTTTTGAGACGACAACTTAAAAGAAATTCATTATCGTCATGAAGCTGGTAGTTAAAGGAAACAAAGGAAACAAGGCAGACTCAAGAGTACCAAGCACAGGGCAAGGAGAAAAGTGTGTATTGGCTAAGAAGCACTCCCCTTCCACCAACTGGTAATTAGTACCTTATTTCAGTTCTTCAGTTATAGCACAAAATTCATAAATGATAACCTACTGATTTCCTCATCCCATTGACTTTGATATGAGAATGTTAAAGCGTATTTTCTAACACATTACACCCAAACTTGCCCAGGAATTTCCTTACGCGCTCCACCCTAGCTCGCCCGCGCCGACTTAGCGTCTTTAGAAACGAACTCTCGCCTTGACGAGACACTGGGGCCGAGATTTTGATTTATATAGTTATTGCAAATAAAATGTTTCTCCTTCCGTTTGATACAGAAAGAAAATTTTTCGGACCAGTAATTTTAGTATTAGAGCCGATCAAAATGCAATCACATTTCCAACACTTTGAAGACTTGTGGAAAAGCAACATAACTGAGTTTGGAAAAGGAAATAACAATGGATTTAAGCAAAAACAAGCATATTATGACAAATCAGATGAATCAGAATTGATGAAAAAGTATGGGGCGATTTAGATTGATCAGATGTAGATTTCAGATCTAGGGCCCGACCACGAGGCTGAGAGTGAGAGTGACGGGTCGTACACCCCGATTGAACTAAAGTTAGAACATTTCCAACAGTTTGCGCATACACATAAGATATATTTTTCTGAAACTACATTCATTTTTCTTTCTAACTTTAATTTTTTCAGGATTTTTGAAATTTGTTTAGTATTTTTTAAAGTGTTTTTTAAATGCTTGTATTCACGGGAGGTGGGTTCCTTCCCCTTGTTTAGGATCTAGGAATGGACTTCCTGTCCAGACCCTTAGGGTGTCATGTGTTAAATGTAATATTTTCCTGTTACATTCTTCTGCCAAACAAAATGTTTTACCATATTTTGCCTTTCCAGTCATCATCTCAGTTAAAATAAAATGCCGAAACAGATCAGGATTTGAGAGTAGTATGCACACTGAGACAGATTTGTGATCAAATTACCTAAGAGAAAAAAAAGCAGGGTGACTATAAACTCTTCTGGGCGACATCAAAACCACCTTCTATGAAAAGAGCTGGAAAATGACTTTCAAATAATCCTACAGCAACACAAACAAATCATGATTAAGGCACACACAAGAATATAGAAATACCTCACTCATTTCTTAACAAAGCAAATGATGCAATCAAAACTTACACATTGCAATGAACAATAAGCACATCTTTTGCAATACTTTATCAAATGTAAAATTAGACCTCCAATAGTTCTTCAGTAAAGTAGACAAAATATAAAAAAACATGGCCAACAACCAGACCTCAGTCCCTCACTCATGCACACAATCAATACCATTCTGACGTACGTGACAAGAAAAGTCTTTCTGGCACAAGCATCAACCATCAGCACACATCCCCCCCCCCCCCCAAAATGTAGTGGTTGCACACAATACTTGATCAGCCTGCAATTGCTTGCATTTCTCTACTTAACACACTACTTTTATCCATTGCAAGAAAAGTTCAAAGCAGACAGCACTGAGCATTCAAAGGAGCATGAGCAGTTTCATCTGGTGCAGACGCATCCTGTCGGCCACATTGTCAATACGCAGCAGCCTCACGTCCTTCTGACCGGCACCGAAGACTCGGTAGATCTGATAGTGCTCACCCTGCTGCATGGCAAACCGAATCTGAGTTAGCGAGATGGGAAAGACTTCCTTGTCTGTTGACACCGTTGTTTTCACCTGAGGTGGTAAACAAGAATAAAGGGCAAAGGCATAAATAAAACTTGATTCAAAAATAAGAGGCCAAGAATGGAAAACAGAAGAAGAGAGAGAAAAAGACAATTTTATTATTTTGATTGGAAAATTATAATTACTTGCAACATAAAATACTAGAATTACATATTTTGCTAACAGTTTGTTTCAGTGTACATCTGATGGTAAGAGGCCTGATGAATGTGAATTGAATATATATATGGAAGAAAATTTGAGAGCATGGAAAGTTGCAACCTCTTACAGTCTCTAAAGAAACTTTCTCTTAAAAACTTTTTTCTGTTCTTCACCTCAAATCCAGGTGGCCCCAAACTGTTATGATCAACAAAAAGTATGACCATTTTTTCACTTTGCATGAATTCTTAAGATCAATCTCAAAAGCATGACAATAATTTGGTGCACTAAATGCTAAATATTGCCAGAAGAGCAACCCGATTGATCCTGGCTGATAAAATATCACATAGTGAACTTAATGTGGGTCTTCTCACCTCAACAAAAACAGAAAACACTTTATCCACTTCATCAGACTTGAAGAGAATCTCAAAGTCGTACGGCCGGCCAGATTCGGTCGACTCATTGGGCCAGATAACGTCCTCAACCAGCCTATCAGTTTGGCGAAGACGTTGCAGGTAGTCCCAGACAAGCTGCTCTCCCCAGCGGCCAATCTCGCCTACCTGCGAGTCATCCTTGATCAGAGCTTCGGGAACAGGGAGGTTCGAACCCTGCCCCAACTCGGTGTAGGAAAGCTCTTCCGTCTGCCCACTCCACAAGGGCAGTTCTGCGGAGGGAAGAGATTTGAGTGCAGATTAAAAAGAAGCATCTTCTTCTTCTACAATACCCAGGTCTGAGACATATTTGGTGATCATGCTTCTGTTTGAATGTATAAGATGTATACCAATACAAAACAGTCATTTGGTTCTGGGAAAGAGTAAGAACAGACAGATGGTAAAAAAAGAGGAATAGTAAAATAGTAGGTATTACTACTATTCCCAGTGGAGCCCTCCAACCAACAGCACCGAGAGTAGAGAGTGTTGATCTGTTGTTCAAAACTAACCCCTGCTAAAACATAAAATAGTGAAAATTCTTTTAAAAGCTGCCAAAATTGCCTTCCTGTCAAATTAGCTTACTATTTCTATGAGGCATTGTTATTGTTAAAGGTGGACTATGCTTCACCCCACTCAACTGACCCACAATTTAGATCATATATTAATATATATATACGAGATGGGCTGTTTCGACCCTGCCTGCTAGGGCCAACCCAAGCAAAAAGTGATACAACATCCCAGGATACAGATGGAGAGACTTGATAAAATAACTTTCCGACTCATGGCTTGAGCTCACATTTTCCACATGAAAAAGCGAAGCGACTAACTATTATGCCGCAGTTGCTGGTCTAGCATGGTTATGGAAGACTGAAGTGACTGCATTTTCAAAGTAAGCTCCCTTAGAAAAATAGATGTACTTTTGAAATGTTAAATAAACAGTTATATTAAGCTTTTCCAGAGTGTTTTTACAACCCACCAATGCTGTTTTCGAGGTAACACCCACCATGATTGAGATTTCATCACTACAGTGAAAACCTGATATAACAGGGATGGTGGGAGTGAAGAAAATGTCCTGTTATATCCGATCCCTGTTAAATCAGAAATGCAAGGAAAGTAAGCATTTGTGGACTAGTACCCACGAACAGGGGTTTTGGCACCAACTTTCTCCTTGCCTCCTTAAACCACACCAGAACAGCTTGGTCCACAGCATCTGCATCAGATAGTCTCATCTTCTTTCGATCCAGAGCAAACTTTCCATTGGAGTATGCTGTCACTATCTTCTCTCTATCCTTGATAATGGTGTGAATCAACCCTTGAGGAATGTCGAACTGATGACAAATCTCTGCCAGTGAATCTTGCCTTTTGTCAACAGCCTGGATTATTCCATATTTTTTTGTCAATTGAACGGCATTTTCTCTTGCGCTTGACATAGTTGGTGACACATGCGTGCGTGTTGCTAGGATTAGGGCTAGATCAAGGTCTGGAGCACGCCGAAGCCCTCTTTCGCTTCACAAGCTGTGTGGCATGGTTTGCGTGGGCTTGCTCCATCACTGTGTTACTCTGCTCATATGACCTTATGCAGTTGTGAGCGCCGAAAAACCTCTACTAAAGCTAAAACTGTGTTACTCTCTCTCTCTCTCTCGCTCTCTCTCTCTTACTTTTTACACATTGTTAACGAGCCTTTGTCCCTGCTGTAACCGTTTGGGCTCCGATGAAGCCCTGTTATTGTCGGTAACTTTTAATAGAGACAAAGAGTAGGAAAAAAACTGTTAAAATCCCTGATATTACCGGATCCCTGTTATTACCGGGCCCCTTATATATAATTTCTACTGTATCTAATGTGTTTGAAGACCCTCACAACAATGATAAGTCACTACAAGAACATCATACATTTAAAGTTAATAGATTCATTAGAATTTAAACAGGGCATTGTTCTGAGGAATTTCCAAATAGATTTTAAAAAGTGGTCCTTCTTTTTTCCCTTTTGAGTTAACAATCATCCACCAAATAAAATCAGCTTGTAAACCGATACATACTGAAATGAAGAACATCCTTATCCTTATGCTGCTTTCGACCAACAGGAGTAAATCTGGCATCCCCATGACTCTCTCCTGCATTGCCTGAAAGAGACAAAATTCAGCTTTATAACAAGGACAATATTTTAGGTTGGTATTTCTTTAAGAAGTTGAATTAGGTCACAAAACGCATCCACCATAATCTGAATAATCATGATTTAGCCTTCACAATCCTTTTACCTGCACTCATATGATCATGTGCAGTTGCAAGCTCCGTAAAACTCTTACAAAAAAATAAAAATAAACAGTCCTCTTATTTGGACAATTTCGGATGCTACTTAACTCGAAATTCCAAAGATGAGTAGCCAGACCGCATTAATTAAAATGTAAACAAGTTCAGCTATAAAGTGTGACTGAAGAGATGAGAGGAAGAGGAGTCTCACCAAACAGTTGACACGGTTCAGCTGAATTTACGTAAAACCAAAAGACCTTGATGTTTCAGAATAAGAATATAAAAAAAAACCCAAAAAAACCATGACCTATATAAGCCAATGACAAAACTAATTTCATACCTGAAATAACTTGGATTTCCTGCATTTAATCTGGAAAAAAAATTTGCCACAAGCTTAACGATGACTTACCTCGACGTCCTTGGCGACCTTCAGAATCTTCAAGGTCATCCCTTGGAGGACCTCTCCTTCCACTTCCTGTACCTGTTCCACCGACATTTGACTGCTGCCCATCGTCACCTTCCATATGCTGCTCTCCTTCCCTCCGCCTGTTCGCCTGATTTCCTTCCTCCTTAAAAAAATAAAAGTACCATTCACAAGCTACTGACTAGCTTCTCTTACTTTCTCTCTCTCGTTCTTTCTCATACGCTTCCCCTAGCATACATTTACTGTCCACTTGATTTAGCTAGACTGAAGTGCATCAACATGATAATAGTAATTCAGCACTACGGAAATGACAAGATTCTTTTTTCTCTAAAGAGTAAATAAACTGGACATACCAGAGCATCCTCCACCCACCCATACATATCTCTATAGACTTATATGGCATAAAACTTAGATCTAGCAGCAGAACTATTTTCAAAGGAACTTACTGAATTGAAAACAAAAAGTGAGGCAGGAAGAGGAGAAAGTGGAAAAGGAGGAAGGAGGAGGAAGAAGAACATGTACAAGAAGAAGAAGAAAAAGAACAACAACAATGGGAAGGGGGGGGGGGGGGGGGACACGAAGAAGAAGAATCAAACATACAACTAAATCAAGACACTCAACAACTAACGCTACCCACTCTGCCACTCTGGTATCCTGCTTCACTTGGGTCATGGGAGTTCAATCTCTTGGGTACAAACATTTCCTCTTGTGAGCCATCCGTCAGCTTTCTTTTCCCTAGGGGGGGGGGGGGGGAGAGAAAGCAGAAAACAGATGAGATAAGATAGCCAAGTTTACAATTTATTCATTTCCATGATTGATGAGAAATTTGCTGCACCAGGGTAAATACATTTACATGCATACACACTCGTCAAAACACTCAAACACATACACACGCACACACAGATGTACATACATGAAAAGGCATTGGATGCAGATACAGTTTACAGTAGAACAGGCCTATAGCTAGACTTTTAGTTCAAGAAGAAAAATCCTGCTGTAGGCGAGTTCCCGCTATGGGAATGTAAAGGGAATTACTGAAAAATCACACATTACATGCTCTCCTCTTCTTTTACTTTTTGGCCTAGACTAGGCCTGGGGTTATGGCACATCACTTTTGGAGTGGCTCACGTAATACATCTCTCCGCCCTCCGCACCATCTCTCTCTGCCGCCTGACCCACCTCACTCATCGCGGGACTGGCCAATCACAACGCTGCACCACGGACTGCCTGTTTGGAGCTCACCAACAGCCCCCCATCCCCCAACTCCCTTCCCCCCAGCTAGAGCTCGCTCAATCTCTCCCGCTGTATCCAAGTTAGGGCCTTTCCTTGCCTCGTTAAACCAAAGCACAGGTAATTGAGTTTACATAGACAAAAAAGAGGGGGATTCCGCTGAAGTCCCGCTCTAGCGAGTGCCGCTATAGTCATGTTCTACTGTACAAAAAAATGTGATTTTCACACCTGACAATGTCTGAACAGCATTAATGTTAACGCCAATCTGAGGGATACTCTTAACGTTAACAAAAACTGACCATGAAGATGCCACATCATGTGCATATCACAGTTGAATCATGTCACCACAACATCTCATTTTTTCTGAACTCCTCACCCACACATTCACATAACTCTCAAGCCTTATTCTGCTCAGTCAAAAACTGAAAAGGGGCAAAATAAAATTTAGCAGAATTCTCATTCCACATCACTTTTTTGTTGTTTTAGCACATGTAAGCATTTTACGGCACTTGTAACACAAAAGGGTCATATAAATGTCGAAGATTAGAAGTGTTACAAGAGAGAAAAAAAAAAAAAAAAGAAAGAGGAGAGATAAAGACGACAGACGTTTAGCAGAAAAGAAGGAGCAAACTACACCAGAGCACCTGCCAACCACCCACTTTAATATCACTGAACTACTTCCACTTTGTAGTCATATACATGTATTCTATACGTGCCATACTGTTCAGACAACCTAAAAAGGTAGCTGTCTGGAACAATTAAGGCTAAGCAGTCTTGAATAATTAGGGTCAGTTTCGTAGACTGCTTGATATCAGTTTACTTATGGTTAAAAAAGAAGCAAAGAGATAAAATATATATTTCCAGTCTAAACGTGTTAATGATCAACAATAAGGTAGGCTACTCAGAATAGCAAAGGGAGGAAGCACACAGTACATCAGCAGTGACTTTAAAACAACGGAACTCCTCTGTATTCACAAACTAAAAACCTATTTCTCCTCCCTTTATCTTTCACATTCAGTGGTCTCTGCCTAAGAATTCAGAAGTTGGGGGGGGGGGGGGGATGTGTGTGCAACATTTCAGAGAAGGCAAAAGAACAAAAGAATGCAAAGCTTTCTAAACTGCTTGAACATGCCGAGCATTGAAAAAGCTGAACACAGCAGCCTGAACAAAGACACTCCTGGTTGAGTTGAATATCTTCCATGAACAGAAAAATTGCTACACTCATGCCAAGTCACAGAAAATTACACATAGTCCACTCAGTAGGCTAGCATGCCCATGCCAAAAATCAGAGAGATGATATAAAACAATAGGCATTTTTTTAATGTCCAAGTACTCTTTTGAAATGTACTCTCCCTGTAGATGTTACAGCAAAAAGCAACAAGATAACTGCCACATTTTGTTAAGCAGACAAATGGCATATATATATATATATATACACACCTAGTAAAGTCATTTCATAATTGTATTTGCAACCCCGACATTTAGGTAACTATGTCAAGACTACAATACAATGAATGAAGTTATAAGCAAATTAGAAAATTTGGAAAAGTATTTCTAAAAATTATTTTTTTTAAAACAAAGCTAAGACCTATGAAATGAGGATGCTTTATAAACCAAAAGAAATGCCAGAATCTAAACAAAAAACAGAAGAGATACAATGCCATTATGCACTTAAATTGGAGAAAATTCTCTTCAAAAATACACTTTGAGGTAAAAACTCAGATACTGCCATTATCTTCCTATGTCTATTCACTATAAGCAACACAGACCAAGCTAAAACTTTCTCTTTTTCAGGCCAGTTCATTCATAAAGCAAAAAGTGCTATTGATACAGGAAACAAGACTATCAAAAGCAATTTTGCCATTCAATAATTTTGAAAACCATATAAAAAGAGGCGCTATATAGTAAAAAGCTTATAAAGACATCAGCTTTTAAATTTATTTCTTTACTGACCCTCTTCACGAGACTCCTCTGAACGTGGAATGGAAAGAATACAAGAAATTTTCATTATAAACATCTTCTTGAATGCCGCCTTAAAATAGCATCTAAAACTACAACAAATAACTAGTATTTAAGGCCATGCTACTTCAAATGCCCACACCAAATAATTAATACATGCAAAAATGTCCAGAGATGGTTACCGAAAACACTACATAAAAACTATTATCAATGAACATAAAAGATGGCAAAAATGAATATGTGACCTTGCGGCACAACGAAGCCTCAAAAAATATTTGAAACTGTTTTGAAAGTGATCCAAGTTTTTCTCCCTCATCCCAAATTTTTTTTAAATGTCAATGCCTAGCATTTTCTGACATTCATCTTCTATTTCTGCTTAAATCAAAGTGCAACTGTTCCAGACCTGAAGAGGTAAAGATTATACTATCAGTGGTGTCCACCTAACAGCAAGGGCCCCTCTGGAAAGTAGGCTTTGGTAGGTGCTAACTGAATTTTCAAAGTAAGACGGGGGCTGCAAACTTCAAAGATAGTACTACACCCACCCATCTCTCTCTCTCTCTGTCTCTCTCTCTCAAGGTCCAAATCATAATGTGATACAGTGGAACTCGGATTCAACGAGGTCGCCAGGCCTGACCTAAAATCTCGTTGAATCCGAGTTCGTTATAGCAAACACGGGGTTTTGTGTAGGTAATTACAGGCACTGAGCAAGTAATGTATAAATAGAAGTCACGAGTAGTGCCTGAAATGCCTGCATATTATGAGCTGTGTAAAAAAAAAAGACCCGATTCGTTCAAATGCACACGCCTTAGTCGTCTCGGTTGTTTACCAAAAAGTTATGTTGCTGTGTAGAGCCAAGCATAACGGCAACTTTTGATTACATAGACCAGCGCACAATTCATTATGTAGATCTACGTCAGGACTAGATCTAGCTTATCATTGTAATAATGATCAGTTGGTGAGGGGGAAAAAAGACTTTGACGTGTTTGTATGTGTATCTGCGACGTTCAACGGCCAGACCGCTAGTGCGCACCCCCCCTCGACAACACACACACACAGTCACACATGCACAGGCCGCCCATCCGACCCCGACACACGCCAGAGTAGACTCGTGCGTGAGCCAACAACGCATGTGTTGGTATGAAGAAAGGCCGCTGATTGGTCGCATGCAATCGGCTAAGTGAATAATGGTTCACGTGTAGGTGCAATGGATGGTTTCCGGGAAAAGATAATGTTCGTTCTGGGGGAAAAAATGAGCGAAGCCACGTCTGCGTGGGCTGTTCACCCTGGAAGCAACCTTGTTGAATCCGAGCTCGCTGATTTAAGTGTTCGTTGAATACGGGTTATTTTTATTGATTTTAAAGAAGAAAAAAATCGGGAAATCTATCTCATCTCGTTGAATCCGAGCTCGTTAAATCCGAGTTCCACTGTATTATGTCATAGGCAGCATACGAGCATCGGCAGTACTGTTATGCACAGTGATTGAGACCCCCCCCCCCCCCCCACCCCGCCAGGAAACTTGAAGGAAAGTGGCTCTTGGTCCAAGCAGTTATTTAGGCCAAAGAGCAAGAACTCAGATGGCCGCTGGACCGGAAAAGAAAAGTCCAAGCAGTTGTTTTGAGGAGATAAGCAAAAGAGGACGGATGCACACACACACACACACACTGAAATTATAAGCCAGTGTTGGTGTTCACACTTTCTGAATCTTCAAAAGCAATTTTGTCCGACAATTGAAAGCAACAAAGGTTGCTGTTAGAGAAAGAGGGGGTTAGGAAAATTCTGTTACACATGCTTAGAATGCTGTTAGGGTGGAGGTTACGCTAATCTGGGTTGCTGTTTAGTGGACACTATTTTCTTTAAACGCTTCAGTGTGAAAGCATAAAAAATGTACTTAAAATCCCACCTCCAAAACAATAAACTCAACCTTTACTTTTAATAGTGCACAACATTTTTTTATCAGTTTTAAACTGAGCAGGCTAAGAGATTTGAATATCTTAAACAAGGTTCGAAGAAATGAACTAGTATTTTTACTAATATCGCAAAGTATTTCATATACAGAAATGAGAGGCAACTCAATAATACCGCAGCCTACTCTGACATGGCATTGAAAAGAAGGGCATGATCTCATCAGAAGGTGAAAAATTAAAGACAATAATAACATCAACAACAACAACAACAACAAAGACAAAAAAAGTTAAGGGAGGTCACGGCAAGCAAAGTCAGCACACAGGAAAGTTATTGACGACATCAAAAAAAGGCTCAGGGAACACACAATTACACAAAAAACACTTTGAACCCACATCCTTACCCCAAAAAATGATTAAGAGGGGGAGTCTTTGACAAATCAGATGTTTGTGTTAAAGTTTCAAAGACATGAGGCACAAACCACCGGGATGACATGCGGGAGACAATACTGACTTTCAAAGAAAACAGATGCTTAGGGAAAAAACTGATAATGTTGCAGCTATTTGCTCATACAATCATCCATTAACAATCAAATCCTCCAGCACAGTGTTACTTTTACAAAGCAGACAAGCAACCTAAGCACAAACGAAATCCAAAGAAAGAATGGCTTTCCACACAACTAGAAGTTTTGAAAGTTGTGTGTAGTGGTCATCTTCTTATCTTGATTCCACTCAATCAAACATCTGTTTTCGTACTTTGAAACTCAGACATTGAAAACACACAACACAAATTGTACCATCCGTGAGTGAGAAAACCGCACTGGTTAAGTATTCGTTTTCAGTCAAGTAACTAAAACTTCTTCAAAGAAGTTTTAGGGGTATTTCTACTTAACAGCCCATAAAAACATTTCCCCATCAATTGCTTCATACTTTAACTTGAAAGCTCAAGAATTGATACCAAAAAATGTCCACACATTCAAATCTAACCTCAATAGTCTAAGAAATTTTACGCTATAAGGCACCTCTTCATCAGTCACTTTAGTATGAACCTTAGTTATGTACATTACGTTTGTATCACTCACGGAAGTCACATAAGCATAAGCAAGGACACCTACGTTTGTCACCTGCAGAGCCTGGGTTCGAACCTCCTTCCCTGGACTGCTCATCACCAGTATCCATACACTGAGAACCACCTCCTCCGCTGCCCTCTTCATCTCCTCTGGTTCCTCCCGCTCCACCAGCACCACTCTCCCCGCTTCTCCCTTCCCTCCAGCTACCTCCTCCTCCTCCTCCACCACCACTTCTAGAAGCGTCATCAGCAGCTCTCTCCTCTCCACGTTTAACTGGTCGCCCTGCACCGCCACCACCACTGCCTCCAGTCCCAGACGCGGGTCTCGAACCCCCGCCACTTCCATCTGCAGACTCAGACCTGGCCACACCTGATTTCGACCCTGAGTAAAAGAGAACAACATCTATAATAACATCATTCTATGCCTCCTAAATAGTCTACCATGTGCCAATGTGGGCATAAAGGCACTGGTGTTTAAAGAAAAAAAATTTGATACAAGTGTTGCACCTCCTGCTGGCAAGCATGGAGATCTATTTTTAACTCTTTACCAGGAAGACGGAGCAGGGTGCCAAGCACCACACCAGCTAAATTTGACATGATTTGTTTATATCAGCGTTGCCATTTAAAGATTTTTTCTTTCTGTACAAACAACATCCTTGACCTGGCCAGCATCAGAGTGAGGCATAAGGTGGCACAGGAAAAGCTGTACTTGAATGTTTTGGGAGACCCAAGGCACCTTTTGCATGACAACCTATGCAGCATCAAAGGAAACAGGATCAAATAGGGCAGCTCATGGACGGCAGAAGCCGAAGACTCCTTGAGGAATGTTTGTGGCATCAATGAAATGTGTAGTGGAAAGGAATGGTTTGACCTGAGCCCCGATTGCAGAAGCCTGGCCAACATTCACATCACTATGGGTCGTGAAAGACGGAAATGTGTTGCTGTCATTAACGACAATGACATACGACAGTTAATTGAGGAGCATTCCAAGCCAGAGGACCCAGTGATCTATACGGAGGGATCGGTCAGGAGGGGTGAGAGAAGTGGGTGGGGTTTTGTGGTGTACAGTGGGAACAAAAAGGTTCATAGCATGTCAGGGGCCATAGAAAGAACAACTTCAAGCATGAAAATGGAGATTGAGGCCGTAACAAGAGCGCTTGGCTGGCTTCAAAATACAAGACCAAGAACTACCCATCTCATTTCATTATTGTCACAGACTCCCAGAGCATCCTGCGGAGGTTTGAGAAAGGGCTGCTTCGGAGTGAATGGATGAAACCAATGGAACACTCATCACTTAGAGCCATCACATGGATATTCTGTCCTGGGCAATGAGGAGGCTGATAGGCTGGCAGGCAGTACCGTGGTTGATGGTGAGGTGAAATTTGACAAAGGAGAAGTGTTGAAGACTGTGGAGGAAATGTTGCGGGATGAGGAAGACAGGGAGACAGCAGAACACCACGCAATTATTAGGGATGCGAGAAATGGGGATAAAGAGGGGAGAAGGAAGAAAGGAACGATAATCTGGAAAGGAAAGACGTCGCCATAATCAGACAGCCACCGGAACAATCAGTATGGATACCTTGCCGGCTTTGGTGCTGGGGGGAACTGAGCACTTATGGACCTTTCCGGTGTGCAATGATGTTGCTGCCCAGGACACAGGTAATACAGAAAAAGACAAGGAAGACAATTGCAAAAATATTCTTGAAAAGCATATCTTGTCAAAGAATGTCATTTCAAAAGACTCATCAGTATTCATTTACAGTATGATAGATTTGGTTCTTATGCCTTTGTACGACCTCACTGTAAGATACATTTCACTATTAAAAAGGTCAAATTCCGAAAAAAATTATAGATTTATTATTGATAACATCCACAAAAACAATTTTTATTTCTTTTTAAAATGATAGAAAGAATCCATCAGGCATAACACTTACCTGTCTCAGAAGTTTGACGGTAAATCTGAGTACCTCCATGATGTGAAGACGAAGAGTTTTGCCTCTCTGTCCCCTCTCCTCTAGCAGTGTGTTGGTGCCGACCACTTTCAGAAGACCCTTGCTCTTTCTCCATTTCCTCACCCTCCTCGAAGCGGATCGTACTGGGCAGGTCACGGCTTGACTTCTTGTGGCTGGAGGGCTCTGGAGGGGGCCACTGGCTGGACGGGCCTATAGGGCCGGGGCCTGCAGTAGAGAATTGCAGTGTGTATCACTTCTTGGCTGTGTGTGTGTGTGTGTGTGGGGGGGATTCTTTTGTTTTTGTGTGTGTGTGGGGGGGGGGGTTCTTTTAGATAAAAAAAAGACACCCAACCTCAACTCCATCTTTTCTTTGAATTCCATGGATATATATAATTAAAGTGCAGATATTTACAGAAATGCAAACATTAAAATTTAACATTTTGTATTTTATTTTGTTAAAATCAAGCAATTATTAGTGATTTAATGGCCATTTGAGTGATAGCACCAACACAAGCAGAGAAAGACCCAAGAAATCTATAGATGGAATATAGTTTATGATCCCGAGAGGGAGATTTGGAAAAATAATGTAAGTGCTTTACGTTCCCACAAATACAATGCTGATCATTTAAGAGACCACTTTCTTTGACCCTGCCTATCAGATCAGGGCCTACCCACGCAGTATATGAGCTACTGCATGCCAATGGAATAAGGAGGTAGAAGGAGAGGAATGTAAGAGAAAAGAGAGGAGGCTAACACCACAGAGTGGACTAGCCTGACAATCAAAAACTGTGGAATGAGATCGGTGGAAAGTCATATGCTTGGCAAGCACATCAAAAAAGATAATTCAAAGGCCTCATCAGTACAAATTTGTTGATGTCAGGTACAATATGTCAGGCATCGTGGTGAAACCAGGTGCTCATCAAAATAACAAAATTGAAGAAATAAGCATTTTTCTTCCTGCTCGGTAATTTTCATCGAATTTTTGTTTTTTGGCTCAACACCTTTTATATCCATTTAACAACAAATTCCTATGTGGATTTTACCAAACAACATTGATTAAAGGCACTAAAACTGTAAATTTACAGTTTCCATGCACTCTCCAGCTTTGGAAGTCGCTAAACTTTGGCGACCATTTTCTCGCTAATTTTACCTTTGATACCAGGTGATCCCTACTTCCATCAATCAAAAATATCTCTTCTTCTGCTGAAGATAAATGGGTAATTTATATATCGAAAACAAGGCATATTAACAAGCATTAAGATGAAAACAATACCTCAATATGCCCAAAAATTGACAAGCACATGATTCCACCATGTCGTGACACATATGATAGATTTGGTTCTTATGCCTTTGTATGGCCTCACTGTAAGACAGACCGTCAACAAAACTACAGGTTTCATGAGGATAATGACCATTAAACACAGAACACACCTGCAGGTTTTAATCATGATGATGATGATCTTTATACAGAGAACATACTAACAGGTTATAAGATGATGATGATGGTTATACATAGAACGTACCTGTCTTGCCCGTGTTTGGTCGTTCTGCCATCGCTTCCCCACTCCTGGGCGGCCAGGACTTCAAACCTGCATTTCCGTCGTTACCCGTCGATGCTGACTGCTCGTCAGAGGGCTCGTACACCGCTAGCCGATTAGAAACGATATGTTCTAGATAAAAAGGTGTCGATGTGGGCAAAGCTCTAAAAACATAACTTGGGCCAGCCAAAAGTTTCCATGTATTAAAGTTTCAGGTATTGAGTTTTGAGTGATGAGAATCATATCTACACAATGATGGTCACTTAGTGGAATGTAAAAAGGACAGACAAAAGCAACAGAGGGAAATAAAAGAAGTTTGACCAACCAGTGATGTCCTCCAACAATCCATACTACAAATTTACAGGAATACTTTCCTATATCTTGCCGCTAAAAGCATATCAGCTTGTCACACATGAGCAGTAGAGGTATATTCAACTTTTCTTTCAAAGAGTGGTTGACATCTGTACAATGTGTAAAATATTTGTGGGCCAGCAACTTTTCAATACAGAATTAGATCTGGCATTAAAACAATCCACATTGTACTTGCTCTGAAAATACATTAAAATAACTAAAAGGATATTTCATGAATAAATATATGAATATTCACCTTGAAATTGTCTATATCCACATGAAACTGAAAACTCCAAGGTGACACATTTTATGAAGGAATCCAGTTACAAATCTAGAAATGTGCTCATTTCTCCTAGGAATGGAAACTTTTGGCTCGCTTTGTAATAAAATCATTTCTAAAAAGAGAAGAGTAACAAGACAAAAAGGATAAAAAACTGAAACTTACAAGACCAGTCAACACCTAGAAATAGGTCCTCAACCTTTTTTAGCCCCATCTATACCGTGACACTTTCCCAGCCTCAGTAAAGTGCCCATTCCATAGTCGCTCTAGCCACTTCACAATATAATGAGAAACTTGACAGCTTATACAATGCTATGTTTTATGTATACCGATCCATGCAATGCACAACAATCTTTTCCAATACATATGCATCCATAATCTGGCAAAAGAACGCAAACAAAAAAGATATACAATCACCTTGTCTGCTGATCTCACTTGTTGGAAAAAAAATCAGACAACTACATGTGTGTCTGGTAAAATAAGATTTAAATGATTTAAATAAATGTGTATTTCAACCAGTCTAAAATGCAGTCAACAAAGGTGCCTCTTATAAATGCAGTGGGAGAGAATTCAACATTAATTCCACAAAAGACAGTAAGACCCCCCACCTTTTCCATAGACCATCGTCTCCTCCACTTCAAGCTGTGGCTCGGGTTCTGGCTTTTTGATGACAGGAAGTGGTACCTCCCACACTTCCTCCGAGGACGGGAGAGTGCCAATATGAGCCTTTTGTCGAGACATCAAACTTTCAATGCTTTCGTCTGAAATGCCCTCTATGATTGGAACCACTTGAGAAAGGAAGCTCCTGGAAATGGACAAGAATGAGTTACAATCAATGCAAAAAATATATGACAGATAGAGATATGCTCCTAGCAGGCTACAATGCTGTATGTCACTAAGGGTCAGGAGGGATAAATTGAAATGAATTGTCCACCCAACAGACTTATGGAAAGTCATATATTATGAGCCTTCCATCTGTGGGAGACACATGTCTTTAATTTTTAAAAGCACTTAACAAACATTTAAAGGGAGATCCAATTTTACGCATGACATTACGTGACCACTACTAATTCACTTTCCCACGATTAATTCACTGTTGAAAAAAAATGTACTTACCGGTAGTTACTTTTATGCCCCATCGACACAATTAAGATAATTTAAGGAGGCAAACTTCGACCCAGCCCGTCAATGTCAACCTAGCTAAGAGGAAAACAATTCCCGCCAGAAAGACTGAGGTAATACAAATCTTCCCCACACAGGAATTGAACTCATCTTCTGCGTGCCACGACGAAGTGCCCAACAGCTGCACCAGAAATGTCAGTATTTGCTCTCAAATACAACACACCTTTCCGAATGGCTCAAGAAGAAAAAAAAATTAAATTAAAACTCACAAAGTAAAAAAGATATCAGAATGAGAATGTCATACCTCAGTTCTCTGATGCAATCTTCATTGCCCTCGGAGAAAAACTTTGCAACCTCTCGATTGATCTCAGATTGACTCTCAACAGCATCTTTGTGAAAGTAGAAATGTTTGTCCTTCACGATACACTTCTCTGAACGAATCTCATACACATCTGGGCGGTCTGTGAGCTCATACCTCACCTCCAGCTTCCAGACCTGTGAAGTTTTGAGACATGAATTAAAGGTCAGCTTTTCTCAGGCAGCATGGAAGTTTTCTGAAATCTTAGGGACATAAATCTATGAAAACCTCCAAAGCAAGTGTTGAAATTTAAACCAAAATAAAACAAACAAAAAACAATAACTGTACAGTAAAAACGACAAGAAACTAACATTAAGCATGTCAATTCAAACAAACATAATAAACATTTTTCACTTTCGTTTTAGAAAAAGAATATCTGGAATGTTTAACACCAGTTTAAAGAGAGTGATCAATTAGACTTATATTTTCATTTATAAATTAGGTCAGTCACTGGTTGTGGCCAATGCAGAACAAGAAAACAAGTGAAGTTATATCTAAATATAATACAAAACATTTAATCTTTCCAAAATTCAGTAGATTTGAAAGAACTGGTATCCCACAGCAAAGATAGAAAATGAAATCTCAACAGAATTCACAAAATTCCAGGAAATGTTTACTAATATATAAGAAACTATCAACAGGCAGTCCAAACTGTTCAAGATAACCACCCATTGTTGAGGAGAAAAATAGTCATCACAGACAGGTGGTCTTCTTGGACAGTGTCATTATAATATGAAAAAGACACAGGTTGTTTGTACATGTGACCATCTTAGACATGTGGTTATAAGAGCAGGTTCGACAGCACTTACTAAAGTCATTAAATTTCTTCCCATATTTTTTTCAGTAAGAGCTTTACGGCACTTGAAACACAATAAGGTAATATAAGTGCCGAAGATTAAAGGTGTTACATGAGAGTAACAAACACCAAAATAAAAGAAAGAGAAGAGATAAGGACGACAGAAGCTTTATAGGAAAGAAGGAGCAAACCACACCAGAGCACCCGCCAAACACCCACTATTACATTTACCCCCCCATTCACCTGTGTAAACAGCAAATCTTTGAGGCCCTCGGCCTTCTTCTCCTTCACTTGTCGGTACACATCGGAGTAGCTGAAGTAAAGAAACCTTTGGACCAGTCCGACCACACGGTGCAAATACGTCTGACCATCGGTGCAGGGCTCAAATCCTGTGGTAATCTCTGTGGTGGTCACACACTCACTCAGGGGACGAATCTCTTCAAAGAGGCTGACCAGGTACTTCACCGATTCTGCATTGATCTGATGCTTCTCTGAAATTCCACAACCACACTGAATAAGGACCAAAGGAGAGGCTGGGCTAATGCTCCAGTTTAATGTTTTTAGTACCATCTGCGACTTTTGTCCCCAGGCTGTCGTATGCGCTCATTACCAATGGCAACTTCAATCACGGACTCGACCAGGCACACTAGCCATATTTAAACAAGGATCGGAGCCACTGCATTAATAATAATAATAGATAGCATTTGTATAGCGCATATCCCCGCTCAACAGCAGGCTCTATGCGCTTTACACTATATTTTTACACTATATTATTACCCAAGCAGACCATAGAACACTCCGGAACATTCTCAGCTTCCCGGGAAGCATTGAAGTAAATACCAAAGAAAGTCACTCTATGCAATAGCTGAAGGGATGAAGAAACTCTGGGGATTTTTAAAGCGTGTTTCTTGGGCTGTGAAGTTTTTAAAATTATTTTTTAGTATCCCATGGCTTCAGCATTCTAAACTGGTGCAGTATTTGAGGGTTTTTCACTTTTGAGCCTTCATTACTGTAAGTGTAAAGTTTGAGTGAGGACTAGCACATTGATACAAAAACAGCCGTTTTATGTAAGGATAAAGCCAGACAGACAGACAAGCAGAAAAGCAGACAGACAGACAGAGGCAGACAGACAGACAGGCAAACTGACAGACAGACAGAAAGACACAAAAATGGTAAAGAAATTAAATACAGCTTACCAGAAAGAAAAACAAAAAAAGGAGAGCTTACGTGACAATTTCCCTTTGAGCGGATTCTCCCGCTGGCCGCCAGGCGTGTCTGCTTCCAGCCGCAGAAAGTGGACGCCTGGTTTCATCAAAAACATTTCCTCCAGCTCGGAAGAGTCAGACAGCATCGGGGCAGCCGAGAGAGCCACCCATTGATCCAGCTTCGTGGGGAACAGCGCCGAGTTGGCGAACAGCTCCTTGACCAGAGGCAGATTGGTCTGAGCCAACTGGGCCTCCTCCGTGGCAACACCTGGTGGTGACCAAAAGGTAAAGGCAGAGAGGTTTTTAGTTTTTAGTAAGTGTTTTACGGCACTTGCAACACAATAAGGTCATATAAGTGCTGAAGATTTTAGGTGTTACAAGAGAGCAACAAACACAATAAAAAAAGGAGGGGAGAAAACGACGATAGACGTTCGATAGGAAAGAAGAAGCAAACCACACCAGAGCACTCGCCAACCACCCATGGGCAGAGAGATCAGGTCTCGCAGCATGTATCAGCATATGTTAGGCTGTGGGGTGTTTTTTATTCTTTGTTATCCTCTTTGTCTTTGTTGTTTTTTTGTTGCTATAACTTATTTTGTTTGAGAATGGGTGGGGGGTGGGGTTTATCAACTGACAAATTTAGTTAATAATAATAATAAAAAAGGACATTTATATAGCGCTCAACCCCGCTTAAAGTACACAGGCTCTGAGCGCTTTACAATACAATACAATGTAATACAGTAACATAAACCGTTGTGTTCTGACCAAAAGTAAATCTCTCCAAATATTCATCTTATCAATTTGAAAACCGAAATGACTTCAGCTGCTGACATTTGAATGAACCAAAAGATTTGATCTCTGTTAGAGTACTTGGCAAAGCATTCCAGATCTTGGGGCCTTGATATTCAAATGACTATTGCATGGATACTGAGCCTAGGGACAAATAACTGGTAACTAATCTATACTGCAACAAGTCGTTTTATTCACATGTTAAAGCCACCTTCCTGAACTTCAGTTCTTATAAAGATGCCTTTAACAGGACAAATGTGATTTCAAAGCCTTTATGAAGACTGCTTGTTTTTAAAACTACGGGTAATCACTAAATTTCTAAGCACATTTTTTGGACATCTTGGATAATTTTTTCCATTAATTTTTATACTTGAAATATAAGTGAAATGGGACTTTTTTCACAAGATTCAACATTAACCTCCCATTTTGAAGCTTATAGAAAGAGTATTTAAAATATGCTTCAGTACTTTCATTCACATTATTACAGAGCCTATTCTTGTGTCAAAAAAACAGAGCATAATGTCATAGAAAAGAAAGGTTTCAAAATAAGCAGTAAGCTAAAGTGTCAATCTTGTCCCCCAAAACCATAGGAAAAAAATTGCATCCAAGTAGACATCTTCCAATCTACACAAACACCACATAACTTGTCTTGAAAATCTAAAAGCATTTTTTCCCTGTCAGTGATCATCAGCAAGCAAACCTCAAATCACTGAATTCAAACAAATTGGGGGCTCTCTTCCCCTCCCCCCATCTGAAAAGCGTGTTGGTTTGGTTTTTTTAATATAGAAAACAATATGCTACCCTTAGACTAACACCAGCCCCTCCCGGGACGAAGCTACTGACTAAAGTGTCTTTAGGCCATTCCAAAGGGGGGATATAAACCATGTTCTTATGCACAGTAGAATTGTAATTGTAAATGTCACGCTCATAACTGTGCCTGAACTTTAAAAGGGAACTGCTGTTTTTTTCTTTCCTAATCCTGACTATCGTCATTTTTCCTCTACTTCTTTTGTAGGTTTGTTACACTCTTGTGACCTGCTATTTCCGGCGTGCCTTGTTAGTCAAAGCAGACTTTGTGCTGTTGAAGCTAGAGAGGTGAGCAGAGTAAGTCTGATTCCCTGTAAGGACTTCTTTGTTGACATCCACCCCTTGGCACTCATATTACCTCATGCAGTTGCGAGGGCTATAAAACCTATACTAAAACTACCTAAACTAACCTTAGACTTACCCCCTGTAATATGTGAGATCTAGCTGAGTAGAGAGCCATCTTTTGTACCTTCACTTAATTATCTGCAAGCACAACCCAATTCATGGAATTCAAGGCAACTGGAAGCTTTCCTTGCCTCCCCATACACACACAAACGTAGACTTACCAGCAGTAGTGTGCGAGATCTTGATCAGCTGAGAGCCTATCTCAGAGAAGAGATAGAGCGTATCTTCGAGAATGCCAGGTTCCTTCAGTATGAAGACTGTGGCCAGGTGGTCTACCAGCTGTGCCAGGTGGGCCGTGCTTGGGGCAGTTGGGACCTTCACAGAGAAATGGAACATCTCCGAGTGTTCCTGGTACAGGTGGCCAATCTACAACGCAAAAAAAACCCAACAATCACACAGATTCGCAAAAGGAAAGCTCTAAATTTTTATTTGTATTTTCCAATAAAATGACCATATCAGTACGATATCGTTGCTGAATGAAGAATAGTAAAAATAACTAAATGCAACGTTTAAAGAACAATCATGACTATCAAAGATTCAGAGCTGAAACAAGATATAACAAACACTATACAAGAGCAACAAAGAAGCTCTGCAAAAGATAGCTCTTAAATTCCTTAAATGCCGGAAAAAGAAGCAGAGACGTACAAGTAAAGGAATTTAAATATGGATTCAGGCAAATTCTAATCTTGCAAAGAACAACCACAAAAAAAGACATTGACCATACAAAAAGGAAAACAAACTCACAATTCTTGTTTTGGCCAGGGGAGACTTATAACGAAGCAAAGAGTCATGGTACTTGACAAACAGCTCCGTTGGATCCGCCCACCACAATTCCTTCCTGCTCAGCATGCGACCGGCAACTGGATCTCTTCCAGAGCCAAAGTTCAGGCCATCTGGCACAAAGATGACCGGGTGTGTGTGGAACAAGTCTTGGCCATCTTTCCTGCTCAGGTTGTCGTTGAGGTACCTGTACAACTAGAGGACAAGAAACAAATAGAACAATATATCAGGAAGTCAAACATACACCACTATACCCCCATTATCTATTCACCAATGTGAATGAGTGAAAATATTCCTTTCATTACCAATATTAATTAACAAACAAGGTTTTTGGTATCCACACAAGCTTCCAGAGGCACATCAGGAGCATGTTGTATATTTTATTAACAGTTTATGTTTCAAAAACTAAACTTAGCCCAAAAGTAATCTGGTGTTTCCCTTACATTGACAAAAACAGCTGGGAAGAAGATGGAGGGAGGGAAGGAGGGGGGGGGGGGGGGGGGGGGGCAATGTGAAATTGTTAAATGTTTGACAATATTGGGGAGTAGACATCATTTCTAAAAAATAAAAAAAATGGGAGAGGGACAACCTAAATGAGAAAAAAACAAACCAAGTACTTTATATGCTCACCTCTGATATGTGACTGTACGTTGTAGAGAACGCACGCGCGGTGTCTGGGCTGGACGCATCACGAGCTGACCAGGAGATAAGAGCGTCCTTGACCGAGGTCACAGACACATTCGACTTCACCTGGCACAAAATTGAAACAAAAGTATCAGACTACTAGACACATAATTACATCCCTTTGTAACCTTTTCCACAGCAATCCATCATTGTTTTAATTAACAGCATTCTATTCAACCTTTCTCTTTGAGTACCGAGGCACTACAAAATGCCAGGTCTGATTTATGTAAAAATTGTAATTGTAAACATTTTAAGCCCCCATCAACACTAATTAAATTATTCATGAGGCGAGCTGCTTCAACCTTCCATGTGCGCCCCAACCTAGGCTGAGAGTGATACAACCTCCCAGCAGAAATTATCTCAACACAGAAATCAAACTCATACTTAACCGCTTCACAACAGATACCATTAGATCTGTTTTGAAGAATTGGACATGCAGAGAGTCTGAAAAGTGCTACTAATGCACAAAGTGTTCATAAAAGTAGAGAGATAATGATCAGCGTAGTAAATCTTCAACTTAAACCTACAATTAAATACAAAGACCAACTTTTTCAGTTTAGTTTTAGTAAGTGCTTTACAGCACTTGCAACACAATTAGGTCATATATAAATGCCGAAGATTACAGATGTTAGAAGAGAGTAACAAACACAAAAAATTAGGAGGAGAGATAAGGACAATAGATGTTTGATAGGAAGGCAAACCACACCAGAACATCCGCCAAACACCTGCGGACCGATCTCTGAGGGCAAACAATTACAATTCTACAGACATAAACATTAAAAACGCAGTATTTCTCAATCACATTTTTGTTTGGTCTTCTGTCCTCAAAAACCAACTAGTCACTACTTTAAAACTGATTTATCTCTACTGAAACATGTCGCTTGGACAAAGATAAAAACATGTAGAGGCAACACCGGTCCAAACCTTCAAAAAGCTGGAGAAAGTACTGTTCCTCAGCGGCTGCACTTTGAGGTACTTGACAGTGTGAGCCAGCAGTTTCGTGATCTCTCTGCTGCAGACGTACAACTCTGCTGCCTGGTGCAGGGCCTCCTGGTCAGGGGGGATGACCCTCCCACTCGCAGGTTCCACCGATATGGATGTGCAAGAGGCTGGAAGCCAGGCTAGAGACCGCAGGAGGATTGAGAATGAAGTCTGGGGAATTGAGATGACATAAAAAGAGAGAAAAGTCTCACTTTAAGAAACATCTAATTAAGTTTCAGAGAGTTTCACAGCACTTGCAACACAATAGGGTCATACAAGAGCCAAAGAGTAGAGTTACCAGTGGTTAGGCTCTGGGATTCTCAAGGTCGTGGGTATGAATCCCGTCAGGGACCCGAAGTTGTGTTCTCGGGAAAGACACTTTACACGAATTTTCTTCACTTCACCCAGGTCAGAGTGGGTATCCGGCTATTGACAGCGAAAGATCTTGTCAACAAATATTGTGATACCTTCCTCCTCTACATCGACAATATTTTAACAGCTTCAACAACTACAACACAGAACCAAGCTTTCTACTCACATCAATGGTCTCTTTCAGCACATGGCCAGAGGCAGACTTGAGCTGTGTGCTGACAAAGCGGCTGTACAAACTGTTCCACTCCTTGTCCAACTGCTCAAAAAGAGCCACCATCTGACTGTACAACTCTCCTTGCACATTGTTGGCGGTGGCCAGTCGGTGAAATTCTTCACACTGAAAATCTACGATAGTGTATCCATCTGGTGAGTCTGGCCAGATGTCTTTGTAAGGAGCCCAGACACTTTCATCCTGGTGATAAAATACAACAGAATAAACTTTATTATTCACACATGTGACATTCTTCTAGAAAAAGCTAACAGACAGTCACAATTAAAGACAAGTTTACCAACCAAAAGAAATTATACGCAGTTGTGCACATGGACAGCAGGATCCCTCCCTCTCTCCCAAAGCTGTGCACTGAAAGAGACAATAATGCTTTACCAAGTACATTAACTCTTTAAACCCCATCAGACCCTGGGAGCGTCCTACAGTAATAACCCTGTTCCCCATCCGACGCTCATTTTTTAGTAGACTAGACCTTTGTTTCCGCCATTTACAAGTTTGTGGCAAGCTTTTGGGCTTATAATGAGACATAATGCACCAGGTTCAGGTGACTATAGAAAAAACTGGGAAATGGTGGAAAAAACTCAGGGTTTAAAGAGTTAATCTACAACATGACAAAGGTCCCCCTCAAAGGATAATCTGACTTCATATTGGAACCATAGGCAAGGTTGGCAGGAATTGTTGTATCCTTCACATAGTTTTCTTTCATCTTTTCTGGCCTCTAAAGCGATATATATATACCAGGGAAGAGGTGTACTGTAGATGTTGGAGATTAACTGCATTCTCTTGACCACAGTTTTTTTTAAGGAGGGGGTATATTATTCTGTGATGAACCGCAGGGAAAATATGAATCAACCTTCAGAGAAACAAAGTTGAGAAGTAGCGAAAGGGTGATACTACAATATATGTACATATTTATTCAGTTGCCATTTTCACTTACTTTTCCGAGAGAAAGTGTACAATACAAGTCAAATTGATGTTGCCCTCATGAAATGGATAAACAAAACCAAACTTCCCAAGAGCAACATTCCATTGTCTCAAGAGAAAAACCTAAACCCCATTGGCATTCATTGGAGTGAGAATCATTCACCATCATTGTAGTCACAGTAGAAGGAAAGCACAGATTAAAAACCATTTATTTTGAGCTCATCGTAATAGCCATGTGCAGTTCTACTGGGCTGTGCGTGTGTTTACTTTGAAAAATCATCCACAATACAATTTAGAGCTCAATAAATTCCAGAATCCACCCAAACTCTTTTTTCCTCTTGAAAAACAAAAGTGACATTGCTTTCAATAAAAATATCGCCACTATCTTATTTCATGTGACCACTTTCACTTCACAACCCCAAGCATGGCTACGACATCTTTTACTTTCACTCTTATTAGTAATTTTAAAGAAAAATACCACCTTAAATCCCAAAATGCCTTTCAAAAGCAAAATTCACAAAGACACTCACAATGCTGCTTTTATCCAGACTTAGCTCCACCCTCTTCACACGCAGGAAGTCCACCACTCCCAGCTGAGACAGGAAGTCATGCCAGCTGATGACGTCTGTTCGGGTGTGGGTGCTCGGCAAATAGGCGCTGTCCACCAAGGTCCAGTCAATGCCTATAGGATTATCCAATAAGAGAATCGTCAGAACTATACATTTACGCCACAGTGAACACAACTGAGCGCAAGTAACTGGAAGTGACTTTCTTGTAACATTTGTAAAGCACATAGAGCATGCTGAAGAACAAGAACAAGCACTATATGAAGGAAATTATTATTATTAATATCATCAATTTTACTTACCAGGAAACAAGTGCTTGAGATTGGTAACATTGCCAAACGGCTGAGAGAAGTGGACATCATCTTCCACAGGGTTCTTGATCCCATGGTTGGTGGCCAGTCGCGCCACAGGTCGCAGCTCAGCCATATCAATGACAGACGCATTCTGCTCACGCTCACCTTTGATGTACACCAGGTAGCTGATCAGGACGTCGCGGCTTTTCTCCTGAGGGTTGGGGGGGGGGGGGGGGGGGGGGGGGAGTGGGAAATTTTGTCAAAGGTGATAATTATTTCCATCTCCAACTTCACAAAATACTAAAAGGCAGTAATGTTCACGCCCCTCTTTTATGTCAGCTTACAGCACAATATGATCAGTACTACTGTACTCTACAAATGTAACAATTACCTTTTCCTTATATTTCTCAATTAAACAAAAATAAATAATATTTCAAGTATTTTCCACCTTCGTATTTATACTTCATATCCAGAGACCTCTAGCAGGTCGCATCAGTGTTACTGCAGCAGGTTCAGCAACGCCTGCTCTAAAGACATTTTAATAAATTACAAAATGGAACCTGTAGGTTTCTGCTAAAGCATGAATACTCTTACATTTGTAATTCCTTTGGGGCCACAAAACCAAATCAAGACATCCTAAATTCTTTTAAAGAAAGGATATGTAGGCCAGATTGCGACAATCTTCTGCTGAATCACTGGCATAAGAGTAGATAGAAAAAAAAATTGAAAAGATAAAAACATTATCAAACACAATTTTTTTTTCTTTTCTTCAAATTCCAAACACTTTCTCCACCTCAAAAAGACACTTTCAATTTAAAAAGAGTATCAAAGAGAGGCTGCCTGTTAATTTCCATCCTTCCTTCACACCCTTCAAAAGAAACCTGATTGCATGAAGACCCCTGCCCACTCTACCTTCCAGCCATCCGAGGTGAGCACAGGCATGATGTGGCTATGGATCAGGTCTTGAGGGGTCAGCTGCTTGATATCCATCTTGAGTAGAAGTTTCACAACCTGAGAGTTCACTTCAGCATCTGGAGTAGAGGTGAGCGCTCCGTGGACTAGGTTCAAATCTTTCTTCAGCTCAAGCAAGGGATCTAAGAGTCAAAAGATTACCCAAAGAGAAGACAATTATGGTAAACGATGTCTGAATTTTTTAAAAACATGGATTAAAACAACAGTCATCAACCTGACCAGCCTCATACAACAAAACTATCATTAAAAGTTTTACTACATTTTCATCATCTTGCCACAGCATTACAAAGTTTTTCACACTATGACATGAAAGGGGCAGGGCTTCTAACTTAGTAAAGTTCTTTTAAAAGCTACTCATACACACATTTCCTTTCACAATCTCTCCATCCTAACTTTGTAACATTCTTTAAAAAGCTACTCAAACACCCACTTCTTTTCACAAATCTCTCCATCCCTAAGTAAGTAAAAGGCAAGTCTCATTCATTAGTTATAGTAAAAAGAAAAAAGAAAATACTTTGGCTTAACCGTTCAAAGTATTTTCGAAACAAACCTCTAGCATTTGCCTGCTTTGACCGTCTGTCTCGGCTTGATGCTGTCTGGCCCTGACCATCGGTCAATAAGAACACAGTGACATCGTCTAGTGACACCAGGTTGCCGGCCGACAGTGGGATGATTCTAGTTGTAAAAAAGTGAGCTTAACATATCAAAGATACCATTTTTTGTCAAGGAATAATAATATCAATAACAATAATAGAAAAAATTATAACAATAATAATAATGATAAACAGCATTTGCACAGTGCATACCCCCACTCGAAAGCTTGCTCTATGCTCTTTACACTATACTATTATTACCCCAGCATACCGTAGAATACTCAAAAAATTTTGGGGAAGCATGCAGTGCAAGCAGCTCATTAGGCGATCAAACATTAACAAACTGACAAGATCTTTCGCTATCTATGATTATAGTCCAAAAGGAAAAGCACACATATTTGTGGCCACTGGTAGTTAAACATCTGACTTTCCTTAATTTTTTGAGAGATGAAAAAGTGGAAAATTTTATTCTTATTCAAGTATTTGTCAAGAACACCTGAGAACTTTTTTCAAAAACATTTCAGTATTTTCCTTCATCATGGTTACTGTAAAGAGACACACAAGGTTAAGGCAGACGTTTTTAATTTTTTAATCTTTAAAAACCATATGGATTGTCTCATGGCAGAATATGGTTATAATGCCACTCTATAAACACTATGACTGTTTAACAAGCAAGAAGTCTGCATTTCAATAATTTGGAGCAGTCTCAAAATGGAACTTCAAAACTTCCCATATATGTTTATTGTTATCTGTTAGAGTAGATTTTTATTAAAGTACAAGTATGTCCAGTGATGTGAAATTTTTTTAACAGAGCTTTTTTATTTTCATTCTTTCTCGATTGTGCATGCATTTGCTGTACATGTGACCTTTTTACTGTGATGCACATTGAGAATCTCAGCATGATAAAAATGGCCAATATAAATGCACTCTATTATTATCATTATTGACCCGATTTCAAGAACAACACAGGAAAGTATGATACAAATAGAACTTGATTATCTTTGATAAGATGAAGGCAGGGAAATGACAAAATCACTTTATCTTAACTGATACTCAAACCATCCCTCAGACAGCGATTGCATAATAGTTGTACAGCGCACATAGCATGTTGAAGAGCATGGATAAGAGCTATAAATCTGCAACTATCATTACTTTTATGACTTAATGTCGACACACTTTTCGCTGTATTTCAAAATACTGTTATAGGCTTCCAAATTTACCTGACAAGACTAAAATTAATAAAATAAAATGCCATTACATCCTTTACCAAGTTAGCTACAGTATAAAGTCCTTCAGCACGCCAATGTTTCATAGTAAATTGTTAATAATATAACTTTACAGATCTTTAAAAAATCTTGTCCTTGAGTCAGTGCACATGAAAAGTAGGTTAGTAACTATAACAGTAATAATAATAGTTCATTCATCAATGTCTAACAATGACCAATAAAACTGCAGAGGAGAACATTTCTCCAGCGAAACAGAAGAATCAGAAGAATTAAAGGTTACGATGCCTCGTGGCTTCTGCTATGGCTGATGAGACCAAATTTTAGCAGAGAAAAATTTGCCACATTTCGAACATTCAAAAGGTTGGTAATAAACACATATGCCTACAAAATTCACCAGCTTATACACATGTCACCAGCTTTTACAAATGTTACACATAAGCATTGAGTCAAACAGTAGAGTTTAAAACCTATTCAATGATACATAAAGTCGGTCTTTCGCAAAAGGCATCACCAACAAACCCTCAGCAAGAATAACGTTGCCAGGTTCACCAACAAAAATACAATCAACAAACTAACTTGAGACTTCGTAGTGTGTTCAGAGTTGCTGTGTTGTCCTGGAAGTCATCCATGCTACGATAGATACAGGCCAGCCACTTTGAAATGTCCATCACACGATCTGCATTAGAATAAAGGAATACTACTTAATGGAGGAGCTAAAGCTAAACACTTTGGCACAATCCAGTTGGATCCTCTGAAATCAAACATATTTTTGCTTTCCTCAGTCATGTTCAGGTGCATTTGATGAAAACTGTGCCAAACAACCAATCAGAACGTATCATATTATAGCCAACAACTAATCAAAACGTATCATATTTTAACCAACAACCAATCAGAACGTATCACATTATAGCCATCAACCAATCAGAAGGCCACTACATATCACATAACATTCGTGGTCAGATACTTGTGAGCTAACAAAAAATGTGATCAAATTGGAAGAAGCAAAGCAATGGCCTTATCGACAGGTTGAGCACTGACTAGTGCCATTTCCTGACCCATCTCTTGATCAGATCTGACTATGTTCAACAGGTTCATCTAAGAAATATGCTTCCCTTCTAACAGCTCAGTCACTTACTAATATGTCGTTGTTGTTTTATTTTCAATATTGTTTTTTTAATGTAGGTACTTTTTTATATTCCCATCAACATAGTTTAGATCATTAAGAAGCAGACTTTAACCCAGCCTGTCAGAGCCAGCCTGGGCTTAGAGATACGTAACATCCCAGCAGAGAGCCAAGATGCTCAACAAAAATATACCTATTCAGGAATTAAACTCAAGTCTCATATGTGCGATGGCGGAGCCCCGAACCGCTCACCAGACGGCTGTCCAATATAACTTCTGCTAAAGTCCTCGAAAAGACCCAACAAGGCTCTACAACTGAGGCCCATAAATTGAAACAGCTCAGTGCTCACCTGGATTTCCAGAATTGTCCCAGTTGAGCCCATTGAAGCGCCCAATGTGTAGCAAGCGCTCCACGGTGATGGAGGAGACCCCAAGGGCGCGGGTCAGCGCCTCGTTCAGGGCGCCCAGCACGTCTTGGTGGATGTAGAACAAGCCCAGCTGGTGCTGCAACAGTTCAGGGGAGACAATCTCCCGCACCAGCGAGTCCTGGCAGATGATGGTCTGTGACGGCTTCTTCCACTGGACGCTCCCTGAGGGTTTTATTTTTTAGTAAGAGCTGTATTTTACTGCACTTGCAACACAGTCAGGTCATATGAGTGCCGAAAATTAATCACTTTTAGTAAAGTTTTTACGGTGCTCGCAACAGCACAAGGTCATGAGCGCCAAGTGGTGGATATCAACAGAGAAGTCCAAACAGGAAATCAGGCTTTCTCTGCTAACCTCTCTAGCTTCAACAGCGCAAAGTCTGCTTCGACTATCAAGGCATCCCGAAAATAGCAGTTCACAAGAGGGTGACAAACATACAAAAGAAATAGAGAAAAAAATGACGGTATAAGGATGATTAAGACATAAGCAGCAGTTCCCCCAATGTTGTTTCGGCACAGTATGAGCATAACATTGATAAGTCAGCCCATGTACAGTTCTACTGTGCATACAAACATGTCAATATCCCCCCTTCGGGAACGGTCTAAAGACACTTCAGTCAGTGGCACTGCCCTGGGGGGGAGCCGAAGATTAGAGGTGTTACAAGCGAGAAAGAACCAAAAAAAAGAAAAGAGGTGAGATAAGGATGATAGATGTTTGATTAGGAAGAGGAAGCAAACCACACTAGAGCACCTGCCAACCACCCACTGCTCCTTGTGGGGGACAGAGACACAAAACATTTGATGAACTACCATCAAAGTAGTCCCAGACAAGACGGCCACTCATTGTCGAGGAGAAAAGAGGTTATCTAAGACAGGTGGTTGTCTTGGACAATGTCATTATGATAAAGAAAAATAGGCTAGTGGTCATTTGTACAGGTGACAGTCTTAGGCGGTCCATAGAGTAGGTTTAAGTGGATTTCGGGTTTTTTTAAACATTGCAAAGGAGTAGTCAACAGTCTTATAGAAACATTGAGTCAAAACAAATCAACATTTTTTTAAAGAATCTGAAACAATGCATACCTGACAACAAAAATAATAACACTAACAATAACAATAATTATCATATCCATAATAATTATTATTTTTATTACAGCCATTTGGCTATATCCACAGAAGAAAAGAACAGTTAAGAAAAAGAAAGAAAAGAAAAGATGCCTAAATCCTAGAAATTTTGAAAAAGGGACAACTTTAACTAAGTACAAAATGAGTTTTTCCATACCTTTCTTGTCAGTGCCCATGACAGGTATGCAGTTCTTGTCTTTGAGGAGAGTGAGGATGTGTGGAGCCACTGGGGTGAAGAATCCCATCACCTCTCCCTCCAGGGGGATGAACTGAAGGTACAGGCACAACGCCTCAACTGGGCTCAGATCTTGTCGCAGCTGCCAAATAAAAGTGACAACAATGATTTATTTTACTTTTAGTTTGAGTTTTACAGCACTTGCAACATAATTTGGTAATATAAATGCCAAAGATGAAAGGTCTTTAAAGAAAGTTACAAACTAAAAATATTTTTAAAAAGAAGAATGAACGATAGATGTTTCAATAGGAAAGAAGGAGCAAACCGCATGAGAGCACCAGCCAACCACCCACACAACAACTTTTATATTTTTTTTATCGAGGCAGGCATTTATGCTACATTATTCTTATCGTAACATTTCCAAAGATTTATTTAGCATTCAGGGTTAGGACTTACTAAATATCTTTAAGAATCAATTGAATTTCCAACATTCTATCAAGGACTCCAATTTGTATCATGATAATAATAAATAAATAATAAACACATTATTTTCATTGATCCCAGAGGGGCAATTTGGCTAACAATGACAAACATACTTACACATACATAAATACATTATAATTGTAAATACATAGTTAGATAAATATATACACATATACATATATAAATTAAATACACAACATTACACCAATACAGAACAAATTCACAACCATGCCGTTGCTGGTCGCCACTGTGCGGCGCCCTGTTGTAAGTAGTGGGCACAAAATGACCTGCACCCACCTTGAAGCTGTCAAGAGCTTCCACAAACAGAGCTGGTATCTCGTTCCGCAGCCACTGGTTCCAGGAGCTGTCCCTGTCCACATCTTCCCGACTGGATGGGACGTCAAAGTCACCTACAGGAGGTTGGTGGAAGTTCTCTGTTTATTTATCTTACACAAAAATGTAAGACTCACCTTGACAAAAATAGGACATTTCCAAGGAGGAGCACAAGGCCCCGAACAAGAGAAATGATGGAGAAAGAAGGAAAGACAGAAGAAGGAGAAAAACACATCAAAGCAAATCGTACACATGTACATCTATCTGATCAAAGAAGCTAAAAGAAGCAATAACAAAATAGGAAGGTTTGCAGCTCCTGCTGGTCTATTATAAAACTAATAATAATTGAATTTCTATGGTATATATTCATGCTTTACAGCATGTTCTACAGCATTCTCTCTGCACTTTACAACTATCATTACCCCAGCAGAAGCTAAAACACTCAGAAACATTCTCGGTTTCCTGGGAAGCATACAAAGTAAGTACCGGTAGCCAATTAAGTGCTTAAATACAAATGAATAGACAAGATCTTTCGCTATCTATAGAGAAATATCCATTTTCAACTGGGAGGGTTGAGTGTAATTCGTGTGGGCCCCTTACAACATTTAAACCCACGACCTTTCAGTTGGGAGTCCCAACAGCCTGACTACTAGTCCACTGACGCCACTATATACTCCATTTATAAGGAAGCCAAATGTAGGGACAGGTAGACAATATAATAAGATATGTGTGAACAATTCAGGGGTGCTCAAAATTATCCTAAGCAGTAGCAAACATCTTACCTTGAACTATGAACCTGAAACCATAAGATCTCAAGGGCAGGAATGCAAAAACAGGCAGTTTGCTCAAGGATTTCTGAGGAACAAAAGAAAAAACAAATTACAATTTTGAAAATTTTTTGAAATATATGAACATCATAAGAAAGAAAAAACCCATTCTATTCAAATTTCTACTCTCTCTCTCTGAAAGGCATTTGGTGGAAAAGCAGCCAGCATAACAAGGATTGAATGTAAAAGAAGACGAAACTCCACTGCGTCTTTCAGCATTCACATGCTCTCACCCACTTGCATGATTGCCAGTCCATATGCAGTCTTATATTTAAAATACCCTTCAGTTTCTCACATTTAATTTCCAAAGAACCTATGTGTTGAGTAAAAGTTGTCCTCAGTGAGTACTAATTTTTTTATTCAACATCAACACATCATTTAGCGACAATATTTAAAAACAACTGAGTATACATGAGGAGGGCAACACAGACCAGATCTTTTGATTGACAAAATATCAAATTGCTGATGGAGTTACACGACAAACATCATCAGGGACTTGGCAGACCCCCAAAGCCAAACAGTTTTTCTGACATATGCAAAGCCAGTACTGCAGGCAGTCACTGCTGATGAACATCCAAGGCTGCAAGAGGCAATGGAGGGTGTCCCATGCCTCAGGATCATGCTATAGTGAGTCCCTTCACACTGTGGTGTCTAAGGAACAAACAGGCCAACAGGATGGCAATACTGGGTGCTCAGAAAGAGCAACCAGATAACAGTATTAACTACATAGAAATGAAAACTCATAAAAACATAATTTAAAGCACCACGAACACCATATAACAACCATGAGTTGTCCTGCCCAGTATTTATCTTTAGACTAAAAACACAAGACTCAGACAACACATGTACAGATGTTTCAAACTAGTACAGCAACCAAAATGCCAGTGTGGCAAGGCGGTCAAAAATGTGGAACACATCCTCCAGCAGTGCAGTACACACAGCACCCCGAGTCAGGAAATATGACCAACCCCATCGACACTACAGGAGAAGCTAGATGGGCAAACAGCAGAACTGATCATGATAGCCCACTATATGATCATCATCATCAAGTGCCAGATCTGTGGTAGATATCAGCGATCATGGCTCTACATTCATTCCTTTGCTCAGATGCTCTTATAAAAAGCTACGTTACCCTGATCTTTCCCCGTTATCCATCTGTTTAGGTTTTTAAGTGGGTTGCTCTGGGCCTATCAATGCCTCGTTCGCCTTCAGTTATACCAGTGACAGCTAGATGTTCAAGACCTGTATGTCTATTCAGGTATTCCCAAAACTGCATTTGTCTTTTGTCTTTTCTTGATTGTTTTTATCAGTGAGCGTCCCACATGGGCTTCATCAAGTACTACCTCATTTGATTTCTTTTCCTTTTCAGATATTCTCATCAGTCTCCTAAGAAATCACATTTCTGTTATTTTTATTTCATTTTCACTATATGGTAGTAGGTACCACAAACTGAAATTTCAAAGTCCTCTGGTTTCACAGTTAACTGCACTATCTTATAGAATTTATCATTCTGAGCATTTTGATACCAAATTTAATAATACAGCTTCATTTTTAACAAAGTGATGAACATCTGAAGTTGCAGAAAAATGTTAGTTTTTTAATTGCAAATTGTCTACACTTTGAGATGTCACAACGTTCATAAATTTGATTGGACATTCACAAAAACTTGTAGACACACACCTTTGCACATAGAGAACAAGCTCAATTTTTTTCAGGGCTATCAAATAACCAGAAGATGGAAATTTATTGACGTAAACATGGCTTTTTGGCCAAAATGGCAAGAAATACAAGGGGAGGTTAAAATCACCACTCACGACCACCGGCTTATCGGCTGCACGCCGGGCCGCGCTGTAGGGAAGGAGAGAAAATTTATACGAAACCGGGGTGATGGTGCCCTGCTTGCGAGCCGACGGGGAGCGTCCTGTGTTTATTTGCATATAATGGCTGTGTTATTCTTGAAGAGGAATGAATGGGCTTTCTGTCGATATATTTTCGTAGTCAGTCCAATCACGGGTTCCATAAAAAAAACAGCACCGAAAGTTTTCACACGCAAATCTCTTCTATCAATTCTTTAAGAAGTCTTTAAAAATATATCACCGGAAAGAGCGTCTTCTCATCTTGAAATATCGACGAATCAGATTGCAGTATTTAATACCATAAGCTCCCCGTTCCTATTCAACCGAGGTCACTCTAAAAATCAATACACGAAACGCGCGGCCGCTGCGGTGAAAACCTCGATAGTGTTGTCTTTTATCCCGCAAGATTTTGCTTTCAAAAGAATCGTTGATTCAAATAAATAATACCACTAAAAAGAGGAAAAGCTCCTCTTTCTTCTGATATATCAAGTGTCTGTGTGTATGCATGATCACACAGTGTTTTAGGAGGATAAAAATATGGGTTTTGGTCTCCGTGACAGTGCGCCAGGGGCACGCGGCCAGTTTGCGGTACCTAATGATAGATACCGGATTTCAAGCATGATGCAATTGAGGAGAAGAAGAAAGAATCATGGAGTTACCTGTCCTTGGGGCACCTGGTTCATGTCCTTCAATGGGAAAGCCAGAGCTATTTCCGTCGACTCTACATTGACTCCAGACTTGGCCTTGAATAAAGCAGAAATATAGTTATACCATACAGTTGTACAGTCAAGAATGTCACACTGAGAGTTGAAATATGACATATTTTGGATCACTATAACATTTGTTAGGGTAATAACAAAATGTCAAAAATACATAAAGCTAACTTCAACTTGGGATGTGGGCTTTATAAAGGCAATCTCTCATCGTTATAACTATTACTATCACTATTCTTATTACTGCATCAAGGAGGGGGAGGAGGAGGGGGAGGAGGAGGGGGAGGAGGAGGAGGAGGAGGAGAAGAAACAACAACAACAGAAGTCGGGTGCTGACACAGCACCTGTAAGGAGATGGACGAGGCATCAAGGATCTTCCTGAGGACCAGCCAGCGGTCAGTGATGTCCTCGTGTCGGATCTGAACCTCCCCATCCTCCAGGTCTCTTCGCACCATGTGGAGTTCACTGCCCTCAACCTGAATAAAGCAGCATAAAGAAAAGGGAAATAAACATTTAAGAATTCTAACTGTAGATGTTTTACCTCACCATCGACACAATTTAGATCGTTTAAAGGCTGGCTGCTTCAATCTGGCCCTTCAGGCCCAGCCAGTGCAGATAAATACACAACAATATAGCAGAAAGACTTAGATACCCCCTTTATTTTTTAAATTCCCCAAGCAGGAATCAAACTCACATCTTTTGCACGCAACAACAAAGAGAACCTAACTGTTACGCCCTAGGCAGCTATGAAAGAAATAAAGTCTACTGCTGTCAAAAGACAAGTGAAGACTAGTGGAAAAACCCAGATAGTCACAATTTTTTCAAATGAGTCTTTTTCCCTTGTCTCATTCTTTAGAATTTGACAAAAATTGACATTATGTCCCTCATCTCACAGCAGGTCATAGTCATGATTAATTATTGGGTCGACTCGCGGGCCAAACTGAAACTGCTCGTGGGCCTGTCTGGCCTTCAGGACTTAGTTTGTCTATGCCTGGCCTAGAGCATTATCAAGTGTAGCAATCTACATCACAGACAAGTGTGCAGGGTGCTTAATACATTTAAGTGTGCATGGAACAAAATACATCTACATGTGCAGCAATTAGAATACATTTATATGCATAGGGAAATAAATACATATGTGTGAACAGTGTGCCTAGAGCATCAAATTGAGAGAGTACAGTCAAAACTGTCTAAGACGGCCACCAATTGTCAAGGAGAAAAGTGTTCATATTACACAGGTGGTCGTCTTACACAGTGTCATAATAATCATGTAAAAAATACCAATGGGAAGAAATCAGAAGCCGTCATTTGTACAGGTGATTGTCTTATATAGGTGACCATTAGAGCAGGTTCGACTGAAGTTTAACACATACATGTGTGTGGTGCAACAGCGGTGTAAGTAATGGGAACTGAGACAGTACCTCATTTTTTATGGTGACCTCTTTAAGTCTGTGCAGGAAGAGGAGCAGTGTGGGCTGGATGTCATTGAAGCGGGCGGCGTGGGAGCGGATATGCTGTTTGATCTCTTCGGTCCACGGAAGAATAATGTGCGTTTGCCATCTATATCACATCACACAAGAACAGTAACAAAAATTATTGTTATACACAAAATTATCGTTATACATTATTGTCGTACACAAACCATGTTGCTATTCAGATATTTTAAAGTGCACCAGCCAGCTATCACACACAAAAGAGTCTTTTCAAAATCTCATCATACTAAAACATTCACAGACAAAATGGCAACACAACTATTGTCTATCCTTTCCAATAATACCATCACTTCTCTCATCCCCCAAAGCCGGTTTCCTTTACACAATGACCATACTCTATCTGTGCCCATTTCCCAAGCAAATCAATTAAATTATAATACACAACTGGTCACTTGTGGCTTGTTTATTTCTCAAAGGCAAATGTTTAAGTTTCTCTATAATACTTCCGATAAACAAATAAGCTCAGCCACCCCCCAACCCCCAAGTCTGATAAGCCATAAAGCAGAGTCAAATTGAGAAGTCAATTACTACAGTGAGCCAGCAGCATAATGGCCACATTTTCCCAGGAACATATTAACACAACAGTAACAATAAAAAGATAGAATAAGATGATACTTTATTGTTCCAAAGGGAAATTTCTCCGTTGCTGTACAGGAATGGTAAAATTAAGAAACGTGTAGATATACATAGAATTTATATAGTAGGCCTATATTATTTTTATAAATATTCAACATGAAGAAAAAAAATAAAGCTGACAATAATACAACATATCACATAAGACGCATCTTTCAAACCACATGCAGGAATTTATTACAGACCTTGAAAGTTAGAAAAACAAATTTTATGTGTAAAAACAAAAACTCAACAGCAATACACATTAATGTTTATTTCAAATGCAGCCTTATTGCAGATGTTAGGAAACGTGTTTCTTTCGCTGTTTCTTTGAAGCAGACAGAGCAGACCACAATGGAGAGGCCCTCAACCACCTGTATATCTAACAAGAAGGAATAATTAACCTACTTTTCATCCAAGTCTGAGCTTTCAATCCAATGTGGCAAGATGTAGCCCATAGGTCCACTGTGGACATCGAAGCAGATGTGGAAGCCATTGGAATGAACCTCTGGCCTGCCTGTCACTCTAAACACAGACTTGAACCCAATGCCTTTTTGACCTGCAGACAACAACAAAAAATCAAACAAATTAACAAAACTCCTTATTCAATTTACCCAAATATTTCTATCCAACTTGACAACATACAGCACAAAGTGCTTTAATTGGATGGGGGAGGGGAAACAAATTGGAAACATATCGGGAGGCCTATTTTTTTTGCTACAGCCGACCTTCAGTCGACATATCGGCAGGAAACAGGACTTGACAGAAGACGTAATTAAAAGATCTTGATGGAAGACATAGTAAAAAGAACTTCCAAAAAGAACTTGATGGAGGGCTTAGTAAAAAGAACTTGGTGGAAGACATAGTAATGGGAACTTGCTGGAAGACAAAGTAAGCTCAAACAAAAGAAGCCACTTCTGCATTAGAGAAGCTGAGGTACTCAAGCTGCACACTATCGGAGGAGTTGTACCCCTGCTGATGGGCTAATAGACTGTTCAAATGTACCAAAAAAAGAACACCATGCGACTGTTTTAACACAGTACAATAATCAAGGTCCCCAGCAAATCCTGGAAATTTTTTTTCAAGACCCAAAAATTTTTTCAAGGCCCCAATTCGAGGGAAAAATAAGGCCGCTGCGCATCAAAAATGATCGCCAAAAAAGCCCATCCCCTATCAATCATAAAATCAAAATGTCTTTAAATGAATGCAAATGTACATTTTGTAGTATAGTCTTCAAACAATAGATGATTATAATACCGGGTGACTGCCGACCCAGCTTCTCAATTTTCCAGGGGAAGGGGGCTCATCCATTTTCCAGGGGCATGTAACATAACAATGACAGTGTGTGCTCCATATAAAATTTATCTAATATAATATATGTATATGTTCGTGAACACACACACACACATACACACACACACAAACACACACACACACACATGTAGGTACATTATATCCAGTCAACAACACGTCAGTGTGGCACGGATCTTGTGTAGCTTTGGTATTTCAGTCTGTTCTTACTTATTTATACTTTCCCCTCATCATATTAGCCTGTATAAACTATATACAAAATAAATCTCGTTTTGAGCCTGAGAAAAGAGTCAAAGACCTAAAACCAGAATATCGACTGTCAGTAGTAGTATAAGGTTTTACGGCGCTCGCAACTGCTAAGGTCATATGAGCGATCGACTGTCAATAACCAGTCTAGGTGTCATGATTCATATAATAAACATGAAGACGAAACTATCGCTCAAACTCAAAGTAGAGGAATATTAGTAATAACTTGAATGGCTCAAGTAGAGTGTGAGAGGTGTAGGAACTGAGGGAGGGCAAGATACAGTTTTAGTCCTCTAGCGTTGCCTTCAGAACCCCACCCCCTTCCCCGAGTGTATCTTTACAAATAAAAGTCAATATCCCCACCCACCAAGAGTCCAATACTTCACAGCGCTCAGCCCGCCGGGATTCACACAATGCCTTATGTGATGCGAGCGCGCAGGTTCACTGACCGGTCACGTTGGCGAACCTGACAAGACGTTTGTAAAACTTTCTTTTCTTTTCATTTTTCCACAAGTGACAGCGCAGGACAAATATTGATTTATTTTCATGGCGACACAGCTTTTGTAATGCACAACCTGCATGTTACAAATGTCGCGTTATAAGACTATTACCAGAAAATTTCTGGGTGGTAACGAAAGTGAAAGTAAATCTTGATTCTTCCCGATCAAGCCTCGGTGTCACACATACACTTCCGCCTGCCGCCATAGCGGTTCAATTACGTTTCCTCTTCATGATTCATCAACCATACTGTCTAGATAGCTACACTACTAGTATTATATTACACAGGCCCTATCCTTTCCCGACTTACCGACCCATCTCAAAATTCCTGACTTCTCGACCCATCACAAAATTCCCGACTTTTTCCAGATTTCCCAACCTGGTGGGGACCCTGAATAATGAAATAGGCCATTATATGTTAAAAAAAAAAAAAATCAGACGTGCTATAGAGTGAAACACCAACAGTTTGCAGCTCTTTGGAATTTGCCATGAGATCGCAGCGAAAGGGGAAAAAGGGGGAAAAAAAACAAACAGGTAAAACTGCATTCCTGCAGGCAGCATATAATGGGTTCTTGCTTAGGAAACCTGAACCATGAAATATATCACAAAAGAAACAAGTAGCCTGTAACGGGCAGGTGCCACTCACCAATGTAGCCCAAGTTGTGCTTGGCTTTGGTACTCTTTCCAACATCACACAAGGCTCGGATGTTCTTTTCCTCAAAGCCCATCTCATTGTTCTGGACTGTCACACCTGCAAGAGAATTAGTTTTAGTATGATTTTTTCAGGAATTTGCAACACAAATAGGTCATATAGGTGCAAAAGATTAGAGGTATTTCAAAAGGGTAATACACAGAGAAAAGGAGGAGGAGAGACATAGATGTTTGATAGAAATGGTGGAGCAAACCTCACCACGGCACCTGCCTACCACCCACTCTGACAGATAAAAGAATTGAACATAAAAGTGATAAATAGAATAAAATAATGAAGCACTACACAAAAATCAACAGGTCTTTTGCTCATCTGTTATCACTTTCAAAATACAATATGAAGTCAAATGTTACTGTTGTGTTGGCATTCTTCTGTTGTCTGTGTGTATGTTCAATCTATGAGACCATGATGCCTTTGTGATATGGTGAGCACCAGTGTGCACTCACCTGCAACGAAAGTGGCGTAACATCGGTTAAACAAATAACTAATAACCTGAAAGTGCTTTAAGTTTGTGACGCTAGTCATAGTGTGGAAGTGGGTAAGAAAGGACCTGCAAAATCTGAGCGTGGGTTAAAGCACCAAAGTGGGGAATAAATAGACTACAGTTTTGGGAACAATGTTCAATTTTAGCAAGAGTTTTCATTATCATCCTCCAGTGCCAGATCTGCGACAGACATCGGTGATCATGGTTTTCCATTCATTCCTTTGCTCGGATGCTCTCAAAAAAGCGTTTTACAGCACTTAAAAACATCATACAAGTGTCGAGGATTAAAGGTATGACCAGAGTTTACAGTAATACTAAAGAGATGACACTTCGCCCGGATGCGCATATCTGGGTCACCAGCTGATCGTGGAGAAACGAGCGGTAAACAAAACAAACTGCGTCCATTGTTCAAGGCATTTACGTTGATGGCAGACAAGCTTGGCCCCGATTAGCACGAAATGTCAATGGTGTTCTGTTATAAACTGCACCTATTAGAATCAAAATCTGAGTATCTTTCGATTTCCAAAGGACGACGAATATATTTTGATGAATAGAAAAATATAGATCAAAATAATGACAATGTGATTGTGGCCCTACCAGACTGACAGTCCATGCACAAACTCAACACTCTTCAACTTTGTTATATCAGCTATAAATTGGGGTTTTTTTCCTGTCAAAATGCCCAAAAAGAGCTTGCATTCTACTACTAGTAGTGAAAGATATGTTACCTGGGTCTGCGAAAAGATGTCTAAATACAAAGTGCCATCGATCGGTTTTGCTACTTTCTTTGTCCGATCCACTTTTTGGGGGGGGGGGGGGATGTGATGGCGGATGGAAGGTGTTAGGGTATTAAAGACTTTAAGTGGCAGATCTATCATTATTGCATCTTGTGCGTTTTCATGATCTGAAATTGTGAGAATTTAATATAATATGCGTGCGTGTGTTTGTGTGTGTGTGTGTGTGTGTGCGCGTGCGTGTGCGCGAGAGAGAGACAGACAGACAGACAGACAGAAACAGAGACAGAGAAACAGATTGACAGACTGACATATAGACAGAGCGAGAGAGGGAAGAAAGAGAGACAGAGAAAGGGAGACAGAGAGAGAGAGAGAAAGAGAGAGAGAGAGAGAAGGGGGGGGGAAGAAAGAGACAGAGACAGACAGACATACAGACAGACAGACAGACAGACAGACAGACAGACAGACAGACAGACAGACAGACA